TATTTTAGAGCAGTTTAAAATGGCTGAGGAACATTTAGGTTGGAAAGGTGATCTTTAATACCTCCAGTTGTATTATTTTCGGAAAAGAGCCTAATCTGAAACATATTAAATTATAATTTTACCTGATGAAATGCAACCGGGTAATAAAAATCTATCAACAAATTGTAATTTAGAAAATGTGCAAGTTATAACCGATATGTAAATGCCTGATTTCAATAATGCAGCTGTAATAGAACCAAAACCAGCTTGTTTTAGTTTAAAAATAACAGCAGAAATCATAAAGTGTTTTAATATGGTCAACACAACCAGTCCAAATGTCTAAGTAAAACGTTTAGCATTGGATAGATGTTTTCATTCAGATGGTTTCAGATATTACAAACATCGGTTGTAACATCTGAAACTTGGCAACAAATTCAGAAGAAAAAAGTGCAAGAAAAGTCATAAATAAAGGATGAAAAATTAAGAAAGAATCAATTAGCTGCGGATAAAAAGTCAAAAATAAAGGAAGAAAGATTAAGAAAGAAACAATTGGCTATTTAGAAAAAGTTATTAAATGAAAAAACTAAAAAAGAAAGAGAAAACATGAGAACTTTGAAACAAGAAAAAAAAGTTGCAAAAGAAAAAGAAAGCCTTTAAACTGAGTCAGAAAACGAGTTCCATTTAAATGTTGATAATAATTATAAAAAAAGATTCAGATAGTTATGATAAAACTCTACCCTTTCCAGTTTAAGAAATTAAAGGATATGTACTAAAATAATGGAAATGCTTTAAAATCTTTAGTTTTAATTCGTAATAATTTTTTCATTACTATATAATTAATATTTATTTAATAGTCTTTTTTTTTAATTTATACACCTAAAAACGTTTAAGAAAATGTTACTAATGCATTAAATTTTTATTTGAAACCGCAAGCGCATTTTCAACCAGACATTAAAGCAGATTTTAAGATATACGATAAGTGTCGACAATATATACGATAAGTGTGAAACACTTACGATAAGTATGGAAAACTGCGCTTTAAAATTTGAATCAAAATAAGTACATTATCAATTTAAACTTCAGAGTGAGAATAATTTTAAACTAACTCTTACAGTATTACATTGACGGCTGCAAAAATTCATTTTTAATGCATTTCTACTTTTTGAGTAATCTAAGATATTTTAATAACTTTTGTTAAACTCACGGTAAGTGTGGAAACGACCCTATACAAATTTTATCATCAAGTTTATCAATTTCAGTTTCATGCAATTGTAAAAAGTTGCCTAGAAACACTTAAGTTCTTATGTATTGCTTTTAGAGCTTTTATTATAAACCGTCAAAATATAAAAACCTCTACACGTTTCCTTCCCTCTCCTTGTTTATGTCACAAAAGAATTTATTTTTTGGTAAAAAAAAACAATCAATGTTCTTCTCTTCAATCAATATTTTTCATAAACGAAATACCTTCCCAAAAAAAACCAAGATATTCAATTGCAATAGAAAAAATTTAAATCGGCTGTTCTTGTTTACAATTTTGATTTTTTTCTTTCTAAAATAATTTTGTCTATTCTTTCTACTGTTACAAAGGTTTCATCGTTTTCTAAATAAGAAAGTACTTCATTTCTTTCCTTTGAATTATTTTCTTCTTCTTGACTTTTGGAATTCGAGATTTATTTTCTTCGAGATGAATCATTTTGTCATTTTTAAGTAAAATTAATGATAAAAATTTTTTTTTTCACATTCCGATTTTTTTTTTTCACACTCTACCCTGAAAATTGTTTTTAAATCTAGGGCGGTGTTGGTCAAACGGAATGTTTTTTGAGTAAAACGAGGAGATTGGAAAAAAGATGTAAGTCTTGTTTGTAAATTAATAAGATTATATAATAAAATTATATAATAAGATATGGAAAATAAATTAAAAAATAATAACTGTAAATTAATAAGAGGACAATAACTTAAAGGAATAAAGAGTGGAATAACTCTTTTTACGAAAATTTTTTATCTTGCGGCTCAGTACAGCATGTCAGGGCATTTTAAAATCTGCAACATGTATTGACTTGATCTTACACAAACAATAATCCACTTTTGACTTTTTTTTTATTACTACTTTGATATATGTTTCTTACTTTAATGTGTCATCAAATTCGGAGTTTCAATGTTATTAACCATTTTGTCGGAAAACATATCAGCTATTGTTTTGCCAGCATATTTAAAAATTTCTTTTTTTACCTGAAGTAAGTTGTCTTTCCAGAATCGTACAAATGTGATTCATAAGACTTGTGAGACAAAGTTAGTCCGAAAAGCTAGCGTAATAATGAAGCTGTTCTTTGTTTATTTAGATTGAAAGTACTTCTGTGTGGTGCATTTATGGCAGTTACCAAAAAATCCAAAAAAAAATGCGCGGAAGGTATAAATGATCATTTCAATCTTTTTTTTAAACCTAGAGTTTTTGTCTAGTCAAAATTTTGAATCAAAAAAATTTTATGAAGAAATAAGCCAGAATAACTTTATGAAGATCTAAGATTAGTATTATGAGGATGATTTATGAAGATCTAAGATTAATATTATGAGGATGATTTATGAAGATTTAAGATAAGTCTTTTAAGAATAAACAAACATCTATTGTGTATCAATTTTTTGTGCAATGTGATTTGACTTGTCTTTTTTTGTTGTTGAAAATATAAGTCATTTTTAATCTAACTCCATAAAATGTTGTATTTTTGTTTGCTGTTGTTTTTTTGGTTTGCTTGATAGATATGGCTGTCTGCTTGTTTTTTCTGTTTGCTTGACAATTTGGTTGTTTATGCATTGAAAAACTACTACTCTTATTAATCAAATTCTAGATGAAAAAAAAAAAGATTTTAATATCTGATAGTGGCAATAACTGTGATAAACTGTTGCAAAACACTGACAGTTTAAAGAAAATGGCTGAGACTTAATGTTCATTCAAGATCCTAGATAAAGGTTGCCAACAAAAAGAAAAAATCTTCAAAAACTCTCATTTCTCTAAAACAATAGGAGTAACACTAAAAGCTCGTCCAGTCTTTCATAATAGAGCAGAATTTGTTTGAAAAGAACAATCTCTAGTCTAAAAAATAATTTTAGAGTTGAGGGCAAGTCATATATAATCTGTAAAGCAGCCATTTCGAATTTTAGATAGCTGCCTTAAAAAATAGATTGTACAAAATAGCCCAACTTCTAAAACAGCTAAAAAATATTTTTGGTGTTTACCTTTTTTGGGTCGCAGAATCCATCGGTTACATTTCATATTTTTGTAATTAATCTAATTTCCATTATGGCAGCTAATATGACAGAGAAAATCCTAATAAGTGTTATTGTTTTCATATCAGTAACTCAGTTTAAAACTATTCTATTATGTATATTCTGTTGCATCAGAAATATTAAAAGCAATGCAAAAAATAATATTTCACATTAACCGTGGTAACAACATAGTCTAGTACTTTTCAAGCCACACAGGGTACAATTTGTCAATGCAATTGACAGTTTTTTTACTACACCTGGTTTTCTTCAAATACTTGCAACTCAGTAATTCCTTATATAATGATATTGCTATAGAAAGAGATGTCCATATTGATTTCCACTTACCACCATAAAATATTTTCTGACCCTAGCCGTTCGATGATAGGTAGTTTGGTGATACTTCTAATGTTTTTCCTCATATGTGTTCTTCTTGAAACGAAGCTTTTTTGATATGTTGCAGAAGTACTGCTTGTTTTAGAGGCAACTTCTCTATAGATTTCCTTTTGTAGTAAACAGTTACTTTCTTAAGGTGGTTATATCCTGCGGTAGTGGTGTAGTGGTAGAGCGCTCGCTTCATAAACGAGTGGTTCCGAGTTCAATCCCCACCTCGTCCCTGGTAGTACCACGCTCAACTCGTTTCTCCGCGCAGCGGCCTTGTTCGTCAAGGTTCGTGTTTCGGAGTTATAGAGTTGAGAGAGGGTTATAGCCACAAATAAGTAGCCTCCTCGTCTGTAGTGGCCTTCTCGGCCTTGAGGAGGTGAATTAAAATAAAAAAAAAAAAAAAATATCCATGACTTAGATCCATGTCAAATTTGATCCTGTTTTGAAATTGATGGTAGGCATTGATAGTTTTCCAATTTCAAAAGTTCATCAAGATCTTCATCTCTTGTTTGTAGAGCAATATACTGAAATGTCTATAATTAAGTTTCAAATTGCCCACCTTTAAAAAAGGATTTTATATATTGTATATCCTTTACTATAGGGCAACTGAAAAGTTGCAGTTTGTTTCATTTGATTAGTTAACCAGACGATAACCAAACGGAAATAATGTCAAAAGAAGATGCAGTGTTGCAACCATTAATACTTGCTTAATGAGATTTAATCATTAATAAATTTTCAAAGAGAATTAAACTGTTTCAATTTTTACATCATGGAAGTTAAGAATATTCATCAAAATATTTCTCAACACGGTCATTTTTAGTCAAAAATGGTGACCTCACAGTATTCTGATCACTTGACCCCAACTATTGAAATCTTTGTCTAGGTTGTATCTTATTAGATTACAACAAATAACTATGTGGTTATAGACGTCCTACAGGTGTCCTACGGACTTGAGACGTTCTTTTGGGCGTGTGAGAGCGTTTTACGGACGTCTGTGTCTGGTGGGAAGAAGCAAAACTTGTTGAGTTTTTACAGTATGTTTCCACTCGAAATAATTGTCTAAATAAAATTATTCAAAATAATTGTCCGAAAAGAGTTACCTGTAGCAATTACTATAAAGAAAGTTAACTTTTTATTTATTACTTTGACATTTTTAACTAAATTTTTCAAAAACTTTTATTTAAAAAAAAAAAAACATTACAAAGTTTGACCGCCTTTTGCAACAAATACATTGGTAAATTTAAAGTTGCCACAATTTTAGTTTTAAAAAACTATAGAACTAATCAATTCACTTGTGGCGTCACAAACTTTAAACACCTTTCTACAAATTTATGTTCTCCCCTTCCTCTCTAAAGCGTGACGTAACTTGCGAACGAATCTGACAATTTTAAAATTTTTCTTTGAACGGTTTTGAAAAATCTAAAGCTCGATCAAGATAGGAACACACCTCCCCCTCTCCAAAGAATATCGAATACACTCGAGCATTGTAATTTCTAAAAAATGTCAAGCCAGTCACAAATTAATGTTGTTCTAGGATCTCAATGGGGAGACGAAGGAAAGGGAAAAATAGTAGATGTGCTTTCTGGAAAGGCTGATGTTGTTTGTAGATGTCAGGTAATCCTTTTTGATGTTTTTCAAAACGTACTCAGAGATGAAGGTCAAAATTTAGGCTTTTTTTCTCGATTTACGTTTCAAATCTAAAAATATATAATAGATATTTATAAAATGTTAGTTATTAGACTTAATATTAATATTAAGTCTGATAATTAATTAACTAACATTTGTTTAAATGAAAAGTTGTTATTATTTTGATAAATCTTTGTTTTGAAATAAAGTAAACTAATAGAGATATTAATAAAGATAACTGATACTACTAATCATATTTATTATACTTTGCTATTAGTAATAGCTAAGCTATATCTATTGGTACTAGTTATCTTATATGATGATTACATGGTCATGATATTGTGACCCTATTGATAACTACTAATTATCAATTACTATTACTCCTGAAAACTCTGTAATTCAATTCAAACTATTGCAAAATTCAAATACAAAAAGCAGAAATTCCTAAAAAAATGCTAGAAAATCTTTCACAAATGTTTTTAAAAGAATAATTTTATTTAAACACTTTTTTTTAGATGAGCAATTTCAAATCATATTATAGTTTAACCAACTTGAGTAGTTCATGATGATTTTAAGTTGTAAATGAATACATGGAGCTCTTATTTAAAACTGATTGGTTTTTATGTTAGGTGTAGCATTAGTTGTCATGTCTTGTATGGGTATTTTTTTTTTAAATAATTAGATTTTAGAATTTTCAATTTCAAAATAAAACCTAATTAACTTATTAGCCTTATTCTTTGCAAAAAAAAGTGTTATCTCTTCATTAAAACCTATCTAGGAACTAAGGTGATCCCAAATTTAATTAACTTTTGTTTGTATAACAAGTTCTTAACCATCATGATGTGATGATAATAACGTGACGATATAAAATTCCTTTAATTAGAATTTTTTGAAAATATATGTTATAATATGACATGCATGTATGTCTTGTATGCATGCAAGTCAAGCGTGGCTCTGCATTATAGAAAATTAACTGCACTATAAAATCTAACTTTATTTTGTGACAAAATAAATTTTTGAGGTTTTACAAGGTATTCACCAAGTAACATAGTCATCAATTAAATCCAACCAAGTTAATAAATTAAGAAATGTTAGGGTAAGATTGGATTGTCAAACCTTATACTAGTTACCTTATAATAATGTTTAAGACAACTTAACATCATCAACATATATATTTTGTTTAAAATATTTAAGTTCTTATTACAACACTTAAGAACTGATATAGTCATAAGAAAAATTAAATATTTAATTATAGCTCCTAAAATAACTAAAACAATTTTAGAAATTGTTCCTTGGTAATATTATCTTTTTTTTAAAATTTGAATTCTATCATTTTTGTATAACTTTTTTGAGCAGATGCAATTTTTTATGCTGTTTTAAGATGGTTTTAAAAACAAGTTAGAGTTGCTCCTTCTGTTTTGTCTCATTTTCTAATAGTGATTTTAATGAACTGTGCTGCTTTTGAGAGCTTCAGTTTAAATTTTAATCAGTACATTTTCATAAGAGTTGTAGTCAAAAAAGTAAAGGCCAAGACTAAGACCAAGACATTTGGGCTCAAGACCAAGACTTAAGATTTCAAAACCAAGACTAAGATCAAAAAGTTAATCCAAAAGCAAGGACTTATGTTCTTAAAAGTCTAACAAAATAATGCTCATACATGTATGTATAATTTTAGACCTTGAGTCAGTATATTATTTTAGCATTTATGCATATTACTCTATCATAAAACATAATAACACATGCATAATATAATTATATCATTGAATAATGTTCAATACACTATTGCAGCCTACAAAAGATATCTTTAATAACAAAAAACTAGCTTGTATTGTTAAAAACAAAATGTACCAAAAAAAATTAGTGTAAGACCATCACACTGAGAAGCTGAGAATAGCACATATATAGCAGACATGCTAGGCCAGTAGTTTTTAGCTGGAACCCTTTATATACCATCAGGCAAATCGAAACCTTTATTAGATTCTGTCAGCAAAATCAGACTCAGACAGGTGAAGACAAGTTCTTGGCAAAGAAACAAGAAAATGTTATCCAGAAACAAAAAAAAGAGTCAGCACAAAGAGAGAAGGCTAATTTTGCAGTTGCCATTGACAGCACAGAATCTGATTCTGAATATCAGCCATTGCAATGAAATTTGACAACACTGACAGTGTCAAAGAGGAGGAATATAGAAACGTCAGAGCTCTTCACATCACATGTGACAGGTGCTCTAGACAGAAATAAAACATCTGATTGTGAGGCTCTGTGTCTAATGGTTCTAATTGCAGCTGCGCTAGGTTTTGATTTATCTTTGCTTCCACTTTCATGAACTGTTTTAAATAATTGTTATTTTGCACATTTTAGTGTAAAGGCTGTCTTTATAGAAAAATTTACTTATGGAATAGTACCGACTGTACCATATCACATTTAATAAGTGTTTTAATTGTAAAAGACTGTACTACCTGTTTAGCATGTAATAAAACTACCAGCAATCTGTGTAATTATTAATTTTTCATTACATATATACACACACATTAAAATGTTAACATTTTAATGTGTGTATATATGTATATTTTTAATTAATATGCTTTTTTAATGTTTGCTTATTGTTAAGGGAGGCAGTAATGCAGGGCATACAGTAATTGTTGAGGAGAAGGAATTCAAATTTCAGTTGATTCCGAGGTAAGAACATTTGCAATTCTGAATATGTATCTACCATTTATTAATATCCAAAACATATAACTATTTATACATACATACATACATACATACATACATACATACATACATACATACATACATACATACATACAAACATACATAAATACATACATACATACATACATACATACATACATACATACATACATACATACATACATACATACATACATACATACATACATAAATACATGCATGCATCCATCCATACATACATACATACATACATACATACATTCATACATACATACATACATACATACATACATACATACATACATACATACATACATACATACATACATATATACATACATACATACATACATACATACATTCATACATACATGCATACATACATACATACATACATACATACATACATACATACATACATACATACATACATACATACATACATACATACATACATACATACATACATTTACATATATACCATACACTTAATTGATATTATATTGATATCAATTAAGATACATGTAAAAATGTATCATTATTTACAAGTGATTGTAGAATTCTATTAAAATTAAAACTATTTATGGTTTAATTTCCATGAGTAAGAAATGCTAATATCAACTTTCTTTTCTTTCCCTCAAAAAAAGAAATAAAATTGACAAATTTAATTTATAAAAAAAAGAGTTACAACTTGTTCTATTAATTACTAAAATGTCACATTGTTGAACTATTTTGTATCAAAAAAGCTAATAAAACATCACACAGTTTAAAAATTATTCAATGTCTGATACAGTGAAACAAACAAAAACTACAGAAAAAAATGAAGGGGAAATTTCAGTTCAAACTAAAAAAGCAAAGCACTCCCAGTCTTGGAAAATTATCAGGGTGGCCACGCCTCCTAAAAAATCCTAAAATGTCCTAATATTTGTAAAACATCCTAAAAAGACCTAATTTCTCCTAAAGTATAGGTGATTTTCTCAAATACTCCTTAATTCTCCTAATTGATGTATGTTTGATAATTTTTTATTTCCAGATATCTTTCTTTGAACTACTCCTTTTTGCCATAAGTTTTTTTCTAAAAATATAATTTTGTAATACCTTTTTTTTGTTTACTTTTTCAATTATCGCTTATCATAAAGTTAAGAAAGCCACCAGCCAAATGCCAAATTTATAAAATAAATTATTCTGCATTGTTTAACATTTGTTAGATTTTTTTTGCAAAATATATTCTGAATTTTTTAAATATAACCTAGATGATTGCTGTATGTTTAAAAGTTTTATATCTGGATGCAAACGCATTGAAAATACATGTTAATGAAAAAAACATGTATTTTTTAATGTTATATGAGTGGGTCAGAAGCCAAGGGGTACAAGTGACATTTTCATAGTTTTGAGATACAGCTGTTTAAAGTTAAAGTATTTTTATTAAATATACTCAGCTGTTGTTATGTTTTTCCAGTAGAAAGCAGAGATTCACTTGTATCCCTTGGCCACCAAAAATTTTGTTTGCTTCTTCTATCAAATTCTATACTTAACTTAATTTTGGTAAAATTGTCACTTGTACCCCTTGGCTTCTGACCCACTCATATATACTATGTGTTTGAAGGTTAAGTCTGTTGCAGATCTAGATACAAACACATTGAAAATTCATGTTAATGATTAAAGATATAAACAAAATATGTCTGTGAGTGATAAAAGAAATACAAACAGTCATTGAGCCACCAGTTGAGTCAAAGGTGTACACGGTGTATACTTAAGTTATATTTGTTTAACAGTATAAATTTAACATAGTAAATTTAACATGTTAACATGAGTAATATTTAACAGCATTGCTTTTGAAAATATTTTATAACATGCTTTTGCATATTCACAAAATTTAGTTTTTTCACATATTCATTTTATTATTATTTTTATTTATGTATGAATATATTTAATATATTATGAAAAAAATGTTATTAGTTTTTTTAAAACTGTTTATTATAAAAAATATTTTGTTCTGTTATTTTTTCTAACTTTACACTGCCATAATGTGCAAAAAAAGTTTTTAATATCAGGTGCATAAGTTTTTATACTTATGCACCTGGTCAAAGAACACTTTTTTTTTTTTACTTATATCTGTCAGTGGCAGTTCTTGGAATTAAAATTATTTTTATTCACATTTTTATCTTACCAAATCAACCCAAATATTCTTGTATTTTTAGATTAGAAAATGTCAGTCAAATATAAACTAAATTTCAAGATCATTGGTTAAATGACAATAATTATAAACAATGGGTACAAAAATGTCCCAACAATTGGTATTCTGTAAAATGTAAGGTATGTTTGAAAGTCATTTCTGTTGCAGGTCTGGGTACAAAGGCATTGGAAAAACATGTTAATGGTAACAAATACAAACAACGTATGTCTGTCTGTGATAAATATGCATTGAAAACTGTTTTAGAATCACCAACTAGCCCAAAAGCAGTACTGTGTCCACAGCAGTTAGCAAAGAAAGCAGAGATACTATGGGCAGTTGGTGTTTTGCTTTCAAAACACTCTTTTTGATTAAGTGCAAATAAATCTGAATTATTTACTGCAATGTTTAGTGATAGTCAAATAGCTAAACAATTTTCTTGTGGGAAAACAAAGTGCACTTATCTTGTGTGCTTTAGAATTGCACCATCTTTAAGGAAATTTTGTGTGAGACATTATCAGAGCTTGATCAGTTTGTTTGCCAATTTGACGAATCTTACAACCAAGTTGTCAAGAAAAGTCAGATGGATTTGCATGTTAGATATTGGGACTCCTCATTAGAGATGGTAAAACAAGATATTTCAACTCTGAATTCTTGGAAAAAGCTGATGCTGTCGATATTATAATAAATTTCCGTAAATGTATGAGTGGTATAGAGGAAGATAAAATGCTCCATGTTTCCATGGATGGTCCAAATGTTAACATGTCTTTCCTTTCTAATTTGAATGCTATAAGAAGTGAATGTGAACTCAGTCAGTTAGTATCAATTGGATCATGTGGCCTTCACACAATGTATTGTTCATTCAAGAATGGTACAAATGCTTCAGGATGGAAATTGCTGTCTTCATTGTTTAAGATATTCCATGAGAGCTCTTCTCGTCGTGCTGATTTTGAAAAACCTTACTCAAGCTTAGTCTTCAGATTATGCTCTACAGTTCTGCAGCCATCGTTGGATTGAAAATGAGAAAGTAGCAAAGAGAGCTATGGCCCAAGATTATTGTGAATATTGTCTTTTGGAAAAATTTACCAAAAAGCATGCAACCTGGTCAATGTAAGCCTGGGCAAAATACTACCTTTCTTCAAGGTATAAAGATGTGTTTGTCCCTATAAAGTTGCAATTTTATTGGGACAAAACTGTTAAATTCTTTTTTATTAGTTTTCCAAACTGACAATCCTATGACACCTATTCTTGTGGAAACACTTGAGAATTTACTGAGGCTATTTTTATTAAAATTTATCAAAAAAGAAGTTTTGTCTGAAGCATCCACAATTTTTAAATTATTAAAAGATGATATCAGTGATGTCAAAAATCAAGTGTTAGTCGCAAATATTGATCTTGGGTTTGGAATAAAATATTAATTGCAGCAACTGAAATCTAGAAAAAAAGTTACTGATGCACAAATCCATAATTTTAAAACAGAAGTTCAACAGTTTTTAGTTACAATGTGCAAACATATGGTTGAAAAAAGTGTTCTAAACTCATACTTTGCCAGATTATGTTTATCACTTTTGTACATGGTTGAATCTCATGAGATGTGTGAACTTTATTTTGACAAGTTGTTGCTGAAATTAGTTGCTTATAAAAAGGTATCACCTTCAGTTGCTTATCAAGCCAAGTTACAGTATTCACAATTTGTAACTACTATTGTGAAAGTGAACAAGGAAAAATTTCTTGGGTTCAAATAAGAAAGTGATAGATTGGATTTTTTGGTTCAATATACAGATGCTTCAAAATTCAAGGATTTAATGAAAATTTACCAATTGTTACTAATATTGTCCCATGGCCAAGCACAAGTAGAGCGTGGATTTAGTATAAATGACAAACTTCTGGATAATAATGATACTGATACTCTTGTTGCACAGAGAATTGTACATGACCACATGTGCAGTGAAAATATAAAATCATCCCAAATGGCTATGACAACAAAAACTTATGGGACATGTTAAGGATGCACGAAAACTATACTTTAGCAGTCAGAAAGAGAAGTCCTTGAATGCTTTAAAAATTGACCATGATACTAAACTGAAAAATTTTAATAAAGAGATTACTAGTTATAATGAACAAGTTCACATCCTTGAAGATACCATATTTCAGCTCAGATATGATGCAGATGAGTGTGCATTGCAAGCGGAAAAGCAGAAATCATTGATAGAAATAAAGTCAACAATTCTAAAATTTAATACGCTAAAGAGAGTTGCCTCTGAAAAGCAGGACTTACTAGAAAAAATTCAGCAGCCAAAAAAGTACTTAGATGTCAGACTATTTTAAATAACAGTGTTTGGGCCCTAATCTTAATAATTTTAGCTAGGCATTCTTACAGTTTTTAAGAATGTTTTTACTACCACTTTATTTTTGAAATTCTCCTAAAATCTCCTAAGATTTTAATCTTTTTTTTTCAAATTTCCTGATAAATCTCCTTAAAAACTATTTAAAATCTCCTATATTATCCTAAATTACCCTAATATTTTCAGACAAAAAAAGTGTGGCCACCCTGATTATGTTGAAATTAAGGAAAAGAAGAATTCAATAAGTTTAAAAAAGTCTTTAAAATTTATTTTATTGCTGTTAAACTAATAGGGTGAGTGCTGTTTAATAAAAATGGTCAGTTGGCTATTATTATTGTGCTTTCTAAACTAATAAGTGGGGTTGGGCAAAGTACTATTTAATTAATGTCAAGATGTTGATTTAAAAATTAAAAATTTAAGAAAAATGCTAATAACTATTGTGATTTGAAAGATTTTAGGGATAGTTCAAAGTTTCTTTGTTTTTTCTTTACAAAAGTATATATATGCACAAGCTTGTATATATATGCACAAACTTGTATATATATGCACAAGCTTGTATATATATGCACAAGCTTGTATATATATGCACAAGCTTGTATATATATGCACAAGCTTGTATATATATGCACAAGCTTGTATGTATTGATGAGCTGTACAATCTTCCATTTGTACAGACATATATTAAAGTACTTACTGACTATAAGGAATCAAATAGTAACTTTAAAATGATTATCTAAATACCTATTATTATAATTATTATTACTATTGTTATTGTTGTTACTGTTATAATTATTGTGACTTTATCTTTATATACATTTTGTAATATAATATTAGTATTTATAAATGTATTTCACAAAGTATATTATATTCATTTTGAGAGTTTTATCAAAGAACAAAAACAAAAAACAAGCAGTGTAAATTAGTTTTATTTAAAAATAAATTTAGCTAAATTTCAAAATGTGTAAGCAGTCAATAAATTTTTCTATTTTATATATTTCAATTAACATGTTAGATCAACATATTTGTGTTTAATTATGTTAATATATTTCAATTAACATGTTAGATCAACATATTTGTGTTTAATTATGTTAATATATTTCAATTAACATGTTAGATCAACATATTTGTGTTTAATTATGTTAATATATTTCAATTAACATGTTAGATCAACATATTTGTGTTTAATTATGTTAATAACTATGATCACTTAACCTTTTAAACAATGTTTTAATTATGTATGAAATCAATATATTACATAAATATAAGTTAATGACTAAAATTGCTCAGTTAGCATTAACGCCAAGAATTTTTTTCTGGCCCTGGTTATTCTTGTCAAAGTTACTACTAAATACTGATGTTTCTGATAAGAGAGATTACTTTATTATTAATAGTGAATATCTAATGTCTGATCAATAAAAAACTGTTAAACAAGCTATTTGAATTAAACTTTTAAACAGTGTTAAAAATGATATTGATTTTAAATGATATTCGATATTAGAATATTAGTATCAAAAAATAGAAAACGCAATAGTCAACTAAAAATTAAAATGCTTTTATATAATTATAACTAAAGTGGTTGTTTTGTTGACTGGCATATATTTTTTTTTATTGTCATGATTCATTAATATTGTATATCAAATAGACATTGAAAAGGTTGGTTAGTTATTTATCATCTGATATTATTAGTTATTTTGGTTGGTTGGTTATTTATCATGTGATATTATTAGTTTTTTTAGTTGGTTAGTTATTTATCATGTGGTTTTATTAAGGTTGAATAGTTATTTATCATGTGTATTGTTTGTGTGAGTTGAATTGTGTTAGATCAACATTTTGTGATATGATAATTGTGTTATCACATGACACAACATGATCAAATAAAACTACATTACATCTGGAATGGTATTTAAACTTCTAAAACATTTGGCTGCAGATTCTTGACTTTATTTTCCAAATCTGTTTGATTCAAAGAAAACTCATGAAAGAAGTTGCAATAAAGAATTGGCCATAAAGAGTGGCTTTTTATGGCCCTCTTGTGGAATCATTACAAAAAAGGTGTTTTGAAAAGAGAATTTGACAAGTGATTAAGGTTGTAGGCCATGTTGAGGTTTTCTTTACTAACATATATTATTTTCTTAGTATTTAATAGCAAGCTGGGTCAGTCTTTATATGGCCCCAATTTAAACGATTAGTATTTTTTTGTTAAATAACGATAATTAAAGACCAGTAAAATATATAAATTACCAGGTAATTAATCAAGTAACCAGTAAATTTTTATGTTGATCTAATAAACTAATAAACGATGAGTTTATTAAATAAATTATAAGTTATTTATTCAAATTCAAGTATTTAATAAATTAACCCATAGAATAAATAATTATTAGATTGTGTCTGCCTATTTCAAAATTCTTGGTCAATGTGTGTATTCTTCCTGCATGTTTTACCTATTTTAATCAGTCAACATATATACACTCCCTGCATGTTCTACCTATTTAAGTTAGTTGATATATTTACACATCCATGGAGGCTTTTATAAACTTGTATTTTTATCTATGCTTAGTGAACAATGCAAATTTATAGCTAGTTTAAAGCCAAGGATCAGAGATTTTTAAAAAGGCGAATTTGTAATAAGATTTTTTTATTCATGATTCAAGATCAATATAAATATTTTTTATTGAATAACAGCTATTGAGTTTAGTGATAGACAGAGTTTATGGTTTTGATAAAGCTAAAAATTTGAAGGCCGGTAGCATTTCCAGATATGACAGTTTGTGATCACTTAATTCGAGCCCTATATTTACTAGGCTATTTGAAAGATGAAACTTTTCTAGAAAGGTAACAGTTCTGGCCTTTTTGTTTCAAAAATGTCTCAAGAACTGACTCAAAAAAAAAAAAAAAAAATCTGAAAATATATATGAATAGATCTCTATATATAAAAAAATTATGCATATTATAATATATATATATATATATATATATATATATATATATATATATATATATATATATATATATATATATATATATATATATATATATATATATATATATATATATATATTCTAAATTATGTGTCTTAATATAAAGCTCTAAATATGTTACAAAATATATATGCTCTAAAATATATGTTTTAAAATATAAGAAAAGAATTTAGAACAATTTTTCATTTCTGGAATTGATCTTAAAATTCTGTACTTTTTAAAAAAACTTAGCATAATGAGCTATCAAAAGCTTATGCTGATCCCAGGGCTCTCTAATAGCAAAATTTCAGCACTTAATATGTAAATATTAAAAATATGTATGAGTAGATCTCTATATATGAATAATTGTCAGAATTTATTATGAAAAGATTTTAAAAAATACCTAATATGAAACTCTATATAAAGAAAATAGAATGCATGAAAAATTTGTTTTTTCAAAAGAAAAAAGGATTTTAGAACATTTATTCAGGGTAATGTAAACTTTTGCTTGTTGGCAACTATTAGTAAACTGTTTTTAATAATAAATAAACAAAAGTAAAAATTTCAGTCTTAATAGCAATATTGTAAGCATGCAAAGAAACCCAAAAAGCTTTTTCAGAAATTTTTGTTTCTCTCCATATTTTTTTCGACTTCAATAATAATAAAAATAACAATCACAACAACAACAACTTAATAAAAGTTTTATCAAGTTTTAGCTATTTATAAATTTAAATGTCTTTGAGTTTAACCTTTAGTAAGAGTTAATTTAACAGATTTGCTAATATTTAAATTGAAATGAAAATTAAAGTAAATACACTTATTAAATGCTTATTTTTTGTATTCAAATAGTTATAGTATAATATGTTATATAGACGCCAACTATTCGAATAAGAATAAGGCGTAAGAATTTAATAAGCATAATTACTATTATTTTAATTTTGCAAATACTAATCAATCAATATTTACAAAAAATACTCTCAATCAATATTTACAAAGTATTTGTAAATATTGAAGAATTGTTTAAAGTGTTTTAAAGATTTAATAATTACAATAATTAAAGTTAATAAAGTTATAATTATAGTTATAGTTACTAAATGTTTAAAATACTTTAAACATTTTTCAATAAATATTTACATATAGGGTAGTATTTACATATAGGGTAGTACCACGTCCCTGGTAGTACCGCGCTCAACTCGTTTCTTCGCGCAGCGGCCTTGTTCATCAAGGTTCGTGTTTCGGAGTTGTAGAGTTGAGAGAGGGTTATATAACCACAAATAAGTAGCCTCCTTGTCTGTAGTGGCCTTCTCAGCCTTGAGGAGGTGAATTAACAAAATAATAATAATAATAAAATAAAAATTTGCAACTTAAACATTTATTAAAATTTTGAATAATTTTTATTGGCATAACTAAAGTAGAATACACTTATGTCCTATTTTAAATTCGGTTATTCAAAATTCTTAACTTTTTTATTTAAAGCAATGCCTTTTACAATGAGACAATATTTTAAATCAACCTCTTATCTTCGGATAAAACTAAGCTAGGTGAGCACAAAAAAAGTGATATTTAATGAGAAAAAAATCATTGTTTTGGCATTGGTTTAAACTGAGATGGGGGAGGGAGGGGGGCTTGAATAGCTAACACAAGAACAAGCCCCTCCCCCACGTTGTCAAAAAAATAAAGAGATAATGCCAAATAAACTCTGTTTTTGTCACTGACTTATTACATGCTTGTAAATATTTTAATGCTAAATCCTCAATTTTGTTATTGGAATTTTTTAATTTAAAATTTGTTTTTATTTCTTTTTTTGTTTTTATTTTAGCTTTTCTATACTTTATTGATTAATTGTTGAAATGAGTTTATTATATAACATCTTTGTTTGGATTTATTTTAGTGGAATCATCAATGAGTCTGTGACAGTAATTATTGGTATTTATTTATTTTATTTAAGTGTAAATAAAGTTTTAAATCATTTTTAATTTCAAAAAAAATCTATGAATTTATATATGTATGTATGTATGTATGTATGTATGTATGTATGTATGTATGTATGTATGTATGTATGTATGTATGTATGTATGTATGTATGTATGTATGTATGTATGTATGTATGTATGTATGTATGTATGTATGTATGTATGTATGTATGTATGTATGTATGTATGTATGTATGTATGTATGTATGTATGTATGTATGTATGTATGTATGTATGTATGTATGTATGTATGTATGTATGTATGTATGTATGTATGTATGTATGTATGTATGTATGTATGTATGTATGTATGTGTGTGCCTGTTATCTTAGGCAATGGAGTTGTCCTGCATGTTCCAACTTTAATGAAAGAAATTGAAAACAACACAATGAAAGGAATTTTAGGCATGAAAGAAAGAATGAAAATCTCAGATAGAACACATTTAGGTAATTTTTTTTTCAATTTTATTCATAAAATAAATTATATATTTTAATAAATATAATAACTACTAAAAAACGAAGTTTGCCATATTCATAAAAAAGTTCTTTCTACACAACTAAATCAAACAACAAGTAGTTACAAACTAATCAGGTAACCTAAATCAAAAAATTGTGACTCTTACAATTCAATAAACCTGAAAAAAAAAAAAAAAAAATCCTAAGACAACAAACAAATTATTATAATTGTAAAGAAAAAAAATAAGATTAAAAGTAAAATTGTAAAAAAAAAAAAATGAATAAAAAAATGAATTAATTTAATGAATATAAATAAAAACTGTCTTAACTAACCACTACTATATACTAATAAAAAATGTAGACAGGTTTGATAACAACAATAAAAAATGTAGACAGATTTGATAACAATAATAATATAACAAGAGCCTCATAAAAAAGAAAAATTAAAAGAAAAAAAAAGAATGGAAAAAGCACTTCTCAAAACAACATAGCATTATTGAAGTATAATTTAAAAAATGAGATTGTTTCAAAATAAAGGTTTTTTTTTTCAATATAATGATTAAAAAGAAACTAAACTTATTTTTTTTTAAATGAGATTATTAACATTTGTTTTAGAATAACATACACAAAGGATTTTCAAAAACTATATTATTTTTTGGAGCAATTATAGCTCCAATATTATTTTCAAAATTTTTATATAATTTCGCTTCATTTGAGTACCAGGTTGACATATTTTTGAAAAACTTTTTTTTCAAAAATGTTAGGGGCCCATTAAATATTCGAGGGTCTTGAGGGACCCCTTAAAATATTTTTTATTCAAAAAAAATTTAAATCTAGTGTTTTTGCATTAGATAGAACACATTTAGGGGGTGAGAGCAGATTATTTTCAAAAATGTTGTTTTTTGGGACACCCTATTATATATATATATATATATATATATATATATATATATATATATATATATATATATATATATATATATATATATATTTTTTTTTTCTTTATTTACTTAACCATAAATAATGAAAATTTACAATGATAAATTATAAATTTACATAAATAAGGTTAGGTGTCACTCATATAGTTGAAAACTAGTCAATGGAGTGGCACCTAAAATAGCTACTGCAACTACTGAACTACTTTGACTATTATTATAGGTAATATTAAGGCAACAAAAACAAAGATATATAAATAATAGTAATAACAATAATAAAAATAGTAGTAATAACAATGTAAAGAATAATAATAAAAATAAAAAAAAATAAAAATAAGTGTAATTAATTAAATAATATATTGAAGGAATAATAAAACATAGCATTAATATTCTTTAGATATTTGCTCCCATAAAAATTTCTTAATTAGGTTTCTGTTGAGAAGAAGAAAGTTAGTAACAAAAGGATATTTAGTTAAAAACTTTTTTTTTATAAAAGGTATTAATTGGTTCCAGTGAGAAATGGATTAATGTTTTATGGAGACCTTGCCATACTTGACAGTATTGAAAAAAGAAGGGTGCAAATTACCATTTATATTAATACAAGTATAGTATTTATGTGTATCACTTGCTTTAATGAAAAAATTGTTAAACGAACCCGGCAGATTATTTTGGAGGAAATCAAACACAAAAAGACAGTTGTAAAGCTTTATAAGATCTTGAAGTTATAAGATTTTTAATTCAGAAAACCTTTTTTGAATATTAGATTGAATAGGAGAAAATGTCATAATTCTTATGGCACGTTGCAAACTGTTTTAATAGCTTAGATGGGATGAGAACATGGAATAGTAAATTGATACTAGAGTATGTTTAGGAACATAGTGTCGTATTAAAGATAACATACTATTGGCTCGAGAGAGTTTTTTATTTAATTGAATCATTTGATAATTTCAAGACAGGTTTTTGTCAAGAAATACTCCGAAATATTTTATAAATTCAGAAGGAAAGATTCTTTTACCATTAATTTTAATTTTAACATTATCATTACTAATTATTTTTTTCGGAGGGTGAAAAATAATGAATTCAGTTTTGTTGATATTTAGAGAGATATGATTACTATTTAACCAAAGACACAATTGATGGAGATCTGAATTAACTTTTTTATAAAGCTGAGTAAGTGATTTATTTATAAATAGAAGATTGGTATCATTAGCAAAATGGTGAACAGTGGAATTGCTTATAGAGTGAGACAAGTCGTTTATATATATTAAAAACAGCAGAGGCCCAAGAACAGAACCTTGGGGAACACCATATTTGATAAATTTTTTGGAGGATTCAAACCCATTAATGGAGACAAACTGGCTACGATTTTCAATATATGATGAAAACCAATTATTAGCAATACCCCGTATGCTATAGTAGTATAACTTTTTAATTAAAATCTTGTGGTCGACCGTGTCAAAAGCTTTTTGGAAATCAATAAAGACGCTACAAGCAAATGAACCACTATCGATTGCACCACGAATCATTTCAGTAATGCTAATAAGAGCATGGGAAGTAGAGTGTTTTAAACCAAAACCAAACTGGTGGCCATATAAGCACTTAGAATTATCAAGAAAGTGGTAGATACGAGAATACATTAATTTTTCAAGAATTTTGCTGATATTAGATAATAATGATATTGGTCTGTAGTTATAACAGTCAAGTATTGAGCCCTTTTTATGAATTGGTTTAACAGATTCTGTTTTGAAAATGTTAGGAAATATACCTGTAACGAATGAGAGGTTAAATAGTTTAGAAAGTAATGGAGAAATATCTCAAACAAGAAATTTAAGAATAAAGATTGGAATGCTGTTTGGACTAGAAGCCAATTTTTTAAGATGCGTCAAATCCCACTTTATCTTACTTAAGCAAATTAAAAACTTTGGTAATAAAACTCAACAAGTGTACAGCAAAAAGACTATAATTAAAAAGGCATCATACAAAAGGGCTGCCAAAAGTGACTGTTGCCAGTAGCAAAAGAAAAAAAAAAAAAGCACTGATTTTATGACTTAAAACTTTATTTTAAACCAAAAACTTTTATGAAATTTAAACGAATTTTTATTTTTCATATGAAAAAAATTAGATTAAATTTCAAAATGATCGAAATTCATAGGTGGAAGAAATAAGGTTTTCAATAACTTGCCAACCTCAATCTTTTAGAGGTTGGCAAAATCCAATCAGAAGAAATAAGTTCGACAATAACTTGCTGACCTCAATCTTTTACAGGTCAGCATCAGATTGGCATCTAGTTTGACCATTAGAAGTAGATGAGTATTTGACTACAGTATCTTATAAAAAATTGATGTTTTTTATTTTATGTTTATTTCTGTCATTTGGTACACTCTGACTGAATGTCAAGGATATTTATGTTAATTTTTTTTAGTTTTATGTCAAAGATGTTTTTGTCAATTTTTTTAGTTTTTGACCAACATCAGCAAATAGATGGTTTTCTAGAAAATTTAAGGAATAAATCAAGGTAGTTTAATTTTAAGAATAGTTATTTATTATTTTAATTATATTTATATTATTTGTAAAAAGTATTTTTCCTTAATTATATCATAGTTGCAGATTAAAAATGTTGTTAATATAATTTGTTAATTGTTAAATAAATTTTTTAATATTTAGTCTTGGTACAACAAAAAGAGGGATTGGACCAGCATATGCTACAAAAGTGAGTTTTTTTGTAGTTTTTTATACTAAGTTATTTAGGTTATATAGGCAATATAAGGTTTTACAAAATGGACTCAGAAGTTCAGAAATTAAAGTCATAATTGTTATATGTCAATTGTTATTAAAGTTATTATTAAAGGCCCTAGGTACTTTTTTTTTTCTATACCTTTTTTGACACTTTTTGACCACATGTATGTAACCCTTAAACATTATTAATTTCGTAAACGCGCGTATTTAATAGTAAGTCATGGTTCCTTATGTGCAGAATGATATGAAAAAAAGTAAATACATAGATATATTATGAAAGCATTCTTGAAAGAGACAGTTGTTTACATGAGATTTCTTTTCTTTTTTTCATAATAAAGACATTTTGATTTTGATTTGATAAGTTTATTTTGATTGATAAGTTTATTTTGATTGATAAGTTTATTTTGATTGATAAGTTTATTTTGATTGATAAGTTTATTTTGATTGATAAGTTTATTTTGATTGATAAGTTTATTTTGATTGATAAGTTTATTTTAACCATTTTAAGTCTAAAATTTATATCATTTATATGTTTGTGTTATAGAATATATATATATATATATATATGAAAGAAATAAAAGCTCTTAAAGAGTGTGAAAATGCACTATTTAATTGAGCCAATGTATATATATATATAATTGAGTCATATATGTATATATATATATATATATATGGCTCAATTATATATATATATATATATATATATATATATATATATATATATATATATATATATAATATATATATATATATATATATATATATATATATATATATATATATAATTGAGCCATATATATATATATATATATATATATATATATATGTATATATATATATATATATATATATATATATATATATATATATATATATATATATATATATATATATATATATATATATATATATATATATATATATATATATATATATATATATAAATATATATATATATATATATATATTTGTGTGTGTTCGTGTGTGTGTTTATATATATATACTGGCCTCAGCAGGAAGTGAAAGGAGATTCTGCACATAAAGAATCATGATGCACTATTAAATTTGTGTCCACAAAGTTTTGAGGACTGTGACGATGTCTATTAAGCTATTTTTCTATATTTGTTCTCACAATAACTTATACTAAAAAAAAAATAAGCAAAAAATAATTTTTTTTGTCTACTTTATTACTTTTTCTATAACTTTTTGTTTAGAAAAAGTTATAAAAAAAGTAGTAAAGTAGACAAAAAAAATATTTTCCTATTTCTATCTTTTTTATTACAATATTCATTTGTTCAAATTATAAATAAGGATATTTTGGATATCAAACTTAGTGAAGTATCTAAAGTAAGGTGGGTTAACTCTCCCCTTGTATATACTCCTATATACTCCTGTATACACTTATATGTATACAGGAGTATATATATAATGTGTATACAGGAGTATATACATATGTATATACTCTTGATAATATTTTTTTGATTTTCCACCCTAAAATTAAATGATTTAGTTTACATACTTTGATCATACAAAACAGATAGTTAAAATTGTTTTTATAAAGTTAGTACAAACAATGCATTTGTTCTTAACCTTTTTGTAGATCCTTTTTGTAGATCTTCTTATCTATTATATTTCTGTAGAAACTGTCCAGCCTTGAGGTATTGTTTATTTAATTGATTTTTTGCATCATCAATGTAACCGTATTTTTCTCAAGATCATTCCAGACTAGTGTTTCAAGAGCTGATTGTCTGAATCAGATCTTTTACTACCGGGATAAATTTTGTTAGAGTGGGTAATATGTCTTTTTAAAATACAATTTCTACAGGCACGGAGAAGTAGCACAACTTCTCCTTGCCTGTAGACATTTATTTCAATATGAGGAATGCTTAGTAGTTCACTTTTTCCGTTCACTTGCACAAGTACAGCTAATCTTTTTCTTGTAGCTGAAACTATATCTTTATATTTTTTAAATAACTTTCCATTAAAATGAACAGAAATCAGCTTACATGTGGAATTAGTCAGGTTTTTTATATACTGCCAAATTTTTTTAGCTTCCGAACTTATCACATCTCAAAGAATTTATCACATTATCTTGAAGAACTTATCACATTATCTACAGCTTGAAGAGGTAGTTGTTGAGATAAAAAAAATTCATTTCTTCTCCTGAGATAGCTGTAACACTGCTTATGATTGCAGTGTACTGGTTGACAGCACTGTATGCTTTAGAATATCTTTAGGCATATTAAACTTTATTCTTCTTATTGGGTATTATCATTTAGCTCACTTTTAACAGAGTTTAAAGAGAAATTAGTGACAACACTTTCTGAACTGTAAGATATATGTAAATCTTTTTCTGAGGATTCCCTTTTAGAATTTTTTTTGAAGATCTCTTAAGCGACCTTTTTAAATCTAATATTAGAACTGCTAGATAACCATGTCTTCTGCATTTTCAAAAACATAATGTCCATGCATTTTGTTTTTTTTTTCTTTTTCTCTCCATTGATTTCATTAATCATAATTTTTATGTCCCAACCAAAATACTTTCTAGATCCTATTAAAAAAACCTCTTTATCCTTGATTGTTCTTGGTACTAATCTGTTTTTAAGGGATTGCAGCTTTATATATTTCATTATTAAATTTTTTTCCTAAAATTAATATTGATTAAATAACTATATTTTTTATTAAAATTAAGATTTGATAAAAAAAGATTAACAGTATAACGCATTGAGTGCTAAGAGTTCTTGCTCCTCCTAGCTCCCATGGAACCTTCAGCTTAGATATAATGCAGCAGTTCACTTCTGCTTCTGCACAATTTGGTGTAAATGTAGAACCTTTGTTTCGACAAAAAACTAAGTTTGAGAGAAGCAAGTGGTTCAGACTCATAAATAAAGATAATACTGGATTATTTCTTCAATAGATGAAAACTGAATAGATGATAGTGCCTTCCAAGTTTTTTTAACTAAGAATTTTTTTCTTATTTTTGCATAAATTTTTGACAAAAGATTTTACTTTTTATTTCATGTAAATGAACTATAATAACATAAATTTAGATATTTTTTTTAATTTCTAAAAATTTATTAAATATAATGCAAGAACCAAGAATTAAAACAGTGCAAATTTATAGTTACAAAATCAACATTTTACACATATTAAAGTTTTTTTCAATTTTATTTTAATAGCAGATGTTGAAAATTTGTTTAAATAGCATAATGTTGAAAATTTTATTTAAAAAAATATAAAAAAATTAAATTCAATAATATTTAAAGGGTTGAAAAATGTCAAAAAAGGTACAAAAAAAAAAAAAGTTTGAGGCTCTAAAATACCTCTTTGAAAAGTGTCAGTTTTTGTAACTATTTTATTCACAGCTTCTTGTCATAGAGGAAGGGGGGTAGTGAGGTTAGTGGTTGCGACAAAAGGGGAGGGGTCAAAAATGAAAATTGCATGATATTATTTATGGATGACCCCTAACATGAATGAATAAATACATTGACTAAGAAAATATTTACAACAGAATATTGTTAATTTGTTTTTTCATAATGGCATAGTTTTCATATTTTCAATATTTTTATAAGAAACTGATTTTTTTGTTAAAAACCAATCAGTTAGTCCTTTATATTGTATTTTAATTCACAGTCCATTATATTGTATTTTAATTCACGTTTTTTTATCTCAGTTACAACCATGATAGTTTTCTTTGCAACTTTGCGTACTTGACCATATTGTCATTAATGTTATAGTGTCGCAAAATTTTGATTATCGTAAATGTAAAAAAGGTACATTTTACAAAATGTCGCAAATTATTGTATTATTGATTGTCAAATAACAGAATAAGGAATAATGTTGCAAATTAATTTAATGAATAGTGTCGAAAACAAAAAGAGGTTACAAAAAAGTTACAAAAATAAAAAATAAAAATAGTTACTGAGGGTTTGGGGTTTGGTCCCCAAAATATATATATATATATATATATATATTATAAAAAATTTTAAAATAATAAGTATTTTATAAAAAAAAACATTACTTTTGATTTTTCTGACAAAATAACAAAAAAAATTGCACTTTTTTTCTTATTTGCCATATCATATGGCAGAAAAATCTGAAGAAACATTTTTTTTATAAAATACTTATTATTTTAAAATTTTTTATAAAATTTCACTTCATTTAAGACCAAACATGACCTACTTTGAAAAAACTATTTTTTTGAAAATATTAGGGATACATTAAATATTCAAGGGTGTTGTGGGACCTCTAAAAATATTTTTAGTACCAAAATATTTGAAATGCAGTGTTTTTTTAATCTACACAACACAATAAGGTGTCAGACAAAATCAAAATTGTTAAATTGGTGTTTTGAGATGCACCCTAATATATATATATATATATATATATATATATATATATATATATATATATATATATATATATATATATATATATATATATATATATATATATATATATATATATATATATAAATATATATATATATATATATATATATCTTTTATATATATATATCTTTTATATATATATATATATATATATATATATATATATATATATATATATATATATATATATATATATATATATATACTCTTGAACAAGATATTAAAGTTATTAAAGTCGTTTTAGTTGTACAGTTGGTCTGAAAACCAATGGTCTGCCCAGCCATATGATATAAATCAGTATACTATCTGCAGAACTGTCCTTGTTAAAGGAATTAATTTTAAGGCCAGGATTGCTAGTATAGCTCTGGAGTTCCACGTTGCATTGCTGATGTTGGGTATTTTCTGAAACCTGATCAATGGAACATGTCCCTTTTCCTCAAAAAATTGAAACACTTGAGCAAGATGGAACAAAAATTTCATATCATCTCTCCAGCCTGATGTTTTGAGAATTACTTCTGTTTTGTTATCAAACTGTGTTTTCAATTGTTCCTACTACTTAAACAGTTAAGATACAAATAGATATTTGATGTTTGGCGATTGTGTTTTACTTCCATGTTCTTCATCCATCACCAAACGGAAGGTTCTATCTAATACATGGTGTTGACAACAGATAAACTGAGGTTTGTTGATGCATTCCTCTGTGAACATTCGTTGCAATATTAAAACAACACCATTCTTTTTTTTAGTGTTAACTCTGGTGGTATCTGCAACAATCATCTTTATTAAATTCCATAGATGAAATTCATCAAGAACTTTAGAAATTCCTTGAGCAATAGTTAAAGCATCCTTATATATATATATATATATATATATATATATATATATATATATATATATATATATATATATATATATATATATGTATATATATATATATATATATATATATATATATATATATGTATATATATATATATATATATATATATATATATATATATATATATATATATATATATATATATATATATATATATATATATATATATATATATATATATATATATATATATATATATATATATATATATATATATATATATATATATATATATATATATATATATATATATATATATATATATATATATATATATATATATATATATATATATAATATATACAGGGGTCGAAATAAGTGCCGCACATCGCCGCCCCTCAGACCATTTTTGAGACCTGCTAGATGAGGACAACAAACAATTGTTCATTTTTTCAGTAAAAATGAACAATGGTTGGTTTCACTCATATAGCAGGTCTCAAAAATGGTCTGAGGCTCAGCAATATCCGGCACTTATTTCGATCCCTGTATATATATATATATATATATATATATATATATATATATATATATATATATATATATATATATATGTATATATATATATATATATATATATATATATATATATATATATATATATATATATAAATGATTTAATGTTGACATCTTATTTGAGAATATATATATATTAGGGATGTTAAATAGTTTTATCTTTGAGTAGTTAGAAGTTATGATTTTTCACTTCTGACTATAGGTCTGGTAACAGGCTGGACTGTCTTGTTCAACATCCATTATATGCATCAAAAAAAAAGAAGAAAACTTCTACTGTGCTGGAAAGAAAAATATGATTAGATTTTACAAGAAAGACAAAATGTTTTATTCAATGTGCACCAAAGCTACCCATATGATATATATGAGTAGCTATATAAATGTCTTTGCATTTGCATTGGAAGGTAGTTTTACAAATTTTTCCCTCTCAAAAGCAATCATAGCTAAATCTAAAATAATTATAACTCTTCTTTATTTGATAATTCCTGTATTCCGTCTAAAAAAAATTAGAATATGTTAATGAATTATTATTAGGTTCAGAGTTAACAAAGATTGGAATTCAGAACACAGCATGTTCTTTAAACATATGAAAGACTTTTTATCAAACTTTAGAGTCATAAATAGCCTTCAACTTATTTAAAAATTGTTACGCTCACTGAAAAAAATATTATTTAAAGTCATTTGTAGCTTGTTAGATTAAAATTGATTTAAAACGTTCTATTCAGCATATTTTTCTATTGCTGCCACTAGGTATGGCACGATGCTGCTAAGTATGACATAATAAATCATATGTATACTACACATGACTTATTATTTATGCCTAGCTTATTAAAAAGACTAATTAATTATTTCTATTCTTTATCTAACAATTACTGTCTCTTTTTACTCAGCCTCTGGTAAATCAAGTTTAAAACCATTTTTCAAGTTATTATAATTTTTATAACAAATATACATATAAATTATTATATATATATAAATTATTATAGCTTTTTCTAACAAGGAAGACATGCACAATATAAATTATAAGTTTCTTGGAAAATAATTAAAATTCAATAAAAAGATAGTTCATACAAACCATGTATTCATCTGTTCATTGGCCATGTTTCACTGCTATACATCATAACACTTTTAATAAAAGTGTTTGGATGTTTGGATAACAGGATAAATGTGGTGTATAACTTTTCTAAAGTCTTTATTAATGCACCTCTTTTTGCACCTCTTTTTGCACCTCTTGACTTTAAATGATTATTTTAAGTTATAAAAAGTCATCATCTTCTGCAGGCCCTATTAATTCACAGAGGTTATTACAATTTTTATTTAAAACAAATCATAAATTTTTTTTTATTATTTCAAATGCGCAGTATAAGCAATTGTGCGTTATTAAACATTTTCTAATACAAAGCCCAAAATCTGCAATTTTAATTTTTTTCTAGTTATTTTTTGTTGTACATGTGTTTAAGTGTCGCCATCAAAATTCTAATGATCATTATCATTTATTATCATTTGTTATCAATTTATTTTAATTCATTATCATTTATTATAATTTATTTTAATTTATTATCATTTATTATATGCAGAGTATCATTTCAGGCACTAAGAAATTCTATCAGAGTTTCAGACTTAGTTGGTGATTTTGAAAAGTTTACAAACCTGTAAGTAAAATCTGTATTTAACTTGCGCTTGATGTTTTTTTTTGTAAAAAAATTGCATTTCAATATTTTATTTTCATTAAATTTTTTTTTTCAGCTTCAAGGAATTGTCAGCATATCATCAGAGGCTGTAAATACTTTTATTTTTTTGAATATATCAAAAATTTATGTAATTAAAATTGGCATAATTTTTATGCAAATAATTATTTTGTGTAAAACAATAAAGGAAAATAGCAGAAAATAAAACAGCAGAAAACAAAAAAAGTTAGTCATTTTAAATTTCTTTTTTATTAACAAATAAGTAAATAAGTATTAACAAAGGCACAAAAATTAATTAAAATTCGATAATAAGTTACTATATATAAGTTATTTTAAGGGTTCTGAATGTTTAAATGGTTTTTTTAATGTCATATGATAAACAAAAAAACGTTGTTGTAAATGAATTAAATTATCTTACTCTAAAAATGAAGGTGGCCTCTTCAATTTATTGTTGGTTAGATGTTTTGGTTTTGTTTTAAAAGAAAATATTAAGAAAATAAAAAAATCTATAGTATGTTTTTGTCCAATGTAAGTTAAATAAGAAATTAAAAAAGTTTTGTTTTTCAAGAGTTTTATTAAAAAGCAGAATATTTATTTTTAGTATATGTGCAAACATAAAATCTTTTTTTAAGTTTTTGAATATAACTAGATAAAGGGTTGTCTACAAAATACGTAACATACTTAGGAGGGGGGAGTGAAGGGTAGATGATTTTGTGTCAATTTGTTACAGGGAAGGGGGTGTTTAGTTTAGTAAGAAAATACTTTTTTTTTCGATTCTAAAAAATCTTTTCTTTTGATTAAAAGTGCCTAAAATATAAACCCTCAGTTAATGTACAGTTGACTGCAGCTATTCCAATGTAACACAAATTGAAATTGGCTTTTTTAATTAACTTCAATTTTATTGGAATTGACTTTTTATAGTTTGAATAATTTTAGTCGCTTAATGTAGACTCTGTGTGGACAATATATCATTGATGAAAAGATAAATAATAATTTAATTGTTAAATAAAAGTAATAATATAATAATTATTAAACAACAATAATAGTTAAAAGACATTAAATATTATAATGTTAATATAACTTGCACCGCAACAAATAATATATTTATCAAAAGTTTAATATATTATTTGTGGTTATTTGTCTGTTTAATCACTATTCATTTATACAACTTTATATCGAACTGTAGAAGTGCAAAAAATATATATGTACACTCCACTTCCGCCTACCTATTTAAATTGATGTATGTAACTATACTGTTTTTCAAAAGTTTATATTAATAAAAAAAATAATAATAATAATTAATAAAAATTTATTTTTATGTTTGTAATTAAAATAGATTCTTTTCTTTTATTTTAGTTTTCATGATCTTGAAATCAATATAGAAAGTGAGATCCAAAAGTATAAGGTAAACTGCTGAAGAATATTATAAACAATAAGTAGTTTATTAAAATATAGGGAAACCTGGGCCTCTGTTGTCTCTATTAAAAAGAAGCCACAAACTATAAAAATGGTTATTCATGTTCTATTGTGTGCATAATTTATAGAGTTTTTTTTACTATTTTAACAACAATTTTAATCCAAAAATTTAATATTACTTTTAATTGGTACCAAATATTAGTTCATATAACAAGCCAAAACAGTAGCCAGCTTTTTTATGTTTAAAAAATAAAAAAAAACTTTAAAATTTTTTTTTTTTAAATAAATTTTTTCAACATTGTTAAAAATTAAGAAATTAAAAAAAAAGTTAATTTTATAAAAATATATATATTTTTCTTTAGTAAATGATATAATCCAACTAGCCCAGTGAAACTTGCTAACATACCCTAAAAGTCAGTAAACTAGCCCAGTGAAACTTTTGCTAACATTAAAAGTCAGTAAACTAGCCCAGTGAAACTTTTGCTAACATTAAAAGTCAGTAAACTAGCCCAGTGAAACTTTTGCTAACATTAAAAGTCAGTAAACTAGCCCAGTGAAACTTTTGCTAACATTAAAAGTCAGTAAACTAGACCAGTGAAAATTTTGCTAACATTAAAAGTCAGTAAACTAGCCCAGTGAAACTTTTGCTAACATTAAAAGTCAGTAAACTAGCCCAGTGAAACTTTTGCTAACATTAAAAGTCAGTAAACTAGCCCAGTGAAAATTTTGATAACATTAAAAGCCAGTAAACAGACTATAGATCCTGAGAACAACTACTGAAAAAAAACTGACTGAAAATAGTAAACCAATTGTGATTAAAATTTTTACAAAAATTTTCATACAACTATTTTCTGTGAAAAGTAAAAAGGAAGCGATGTTCCAAAAGTTACGTTTTTGTCAAAAAAACGCATATATCCCAATATCTTCCATGCACATGCCCAAATTCTAACAATACTACAGTGAAAGATGAAATGGTCAATTAGGAAGGTTCTATGTAATTTTTTGCACTTTCCAATGAAATGCTCTAAAAATAAACGCAGTTAATCAACCAGCCCCTGCTGCCAACTATCCCTGCCAACTGCCAACTTTGAATCCGAAGTCTGTAGGTATAATGGTGGCAAGGACTCCAAGACTCTGGGCTTAAAAACAATAAGTCATTTAATCCCATGAGTTTTTTTCATATGGCAAATCATAAGTCAACAAACATATTTAGAGCTTCTGGATACTACAGACCTGAAAAAGATAGAGATATAAAGTCAGAGTCCTTTTTGGACTCCGCATCCCTGGGTATATTTAATTAATAATTGTTATAAATTTTTGCATTTTATTTATTTGTGCTTCAGGGTGTTTCTGTATTAAGTTAGCTGTGTTCATAAGATTACTAAGTTTAAAAAACCTTTTTGAACTTTTTGAAGGAATATAAAATTTCTAAATTATTCTAGTATATATATGATGTTCATATTGTTAACAACAGCTTTTTTTTTATGTATAATATATTTTTTTATTATATTATTTTTTTATGTATAATATAAGCAAGTTTACTAATATAAATAGTGAAAACTAGATTCACTTAAAAAACCTGTTTAAATTATTTTTTAATTTTATTTTAAGAAAAGTTCTTCTGTTTAATTCAAAACTGTTTTTAACTTATTAATAATATAGTATCAATATATATACATCTGCATGATAATTATACTTTATACTCCATAATGTAATGACAAACTTTTTTATAAATCGAGTTTGTTATGATTTGAAAAATTTTGGTTTTGAAACTGTTAATACAAAAACAATTTAAAAACAGAACATTTATTTTTTAAAGGAATATGCAGAAATACTTAAACCAATGGTTGTTGATACAATTCCATTGATATATGAGGAGATTAAAAAAGGTTCAAATATACTTGTGGAAGGAGCAAATGCGACTATGCTTGATATCGATTTTGGTATGCATTCATGTTTATTTTTTTATTTGTGGGATTAATTTGTGAGATTAAGACAAAATTACTTATGCATATGTTGTGTTATGCATATGTTGTGTTATTTTTATGAATTATTTTTATTAGGCACATACCCATATGTAACATCATCAAACTGTGGTATAGGTGGTGCAATTACTGGGCTTGGTATACCAGCAAAAGCAATTAACAATGTCTATGGTGTTGTTAAGGCTTACACTACTAGAGTTGGTGGAGGTGTACTTCCATCTGAATTGTTTGATGTATTATTTTTTCTTTTTTTTAAATTTTGATTTTTTTTAATTTTCTCTCTCTCACTCAGTCTCTCTCTCTCTCTCTCTCTCTCTCTCTCTCTCTCTCTATATATATATATATATATATATATATATATATATATATATATATATATATATATATATATATATATATATATATATATATATATATATATATATATATATATATATATATATATATATATATATATATATATATATATATATATATATATATTAGGCCTTGTTTTAAATAAAAAATGGTTAATGCGTTAGCTTAACGTGATATTTGACCTCAAAAAATCCTGTTTATTTTTTAATTTTTTAAAGACATTAACTTTTTTAAATTACTATTAATTACCGCAAAATTAGTTAGATATTATTTAACGACTTTTTAATTATTACTATAAGGAATGTTTATTTTTATTTTTTTAATATTAAATAATTAAATTTAATTCTTAAATTTCTAATTGCGGCTTTGCAATTACAAATAATTTTTTATTTTAAAAAAATATGATAGCAATGGATTACCCTGTTTATCCGCTATATCAGGTAGAACTCAACTAGTGGAATCAAGAGATTGATGAAATATTGATGAAAAAATCTTGGCAAACAATTTAACTCTGGCGAGGTGAAAAAATCTGAACCATACAAGAAAGGTGGAACAACAGATTTGCCCTTATTATAGATACTGTTAAAGATTCTCCAAAATTCAAAGATATTCAATATTGAAATTTTATTTGTTCTTAAAAAAAAATTAGCTTATTTTTATCGCAATTGTTTCTACCCTTCATTTTCTAAGATTAACTCTTACTTCCTTGGAAACTATATATCAAATCGATTGCAAAATTATTTGCTAAGGATGCATCTCTATTGTGCTTGCCACTTTTTTATTCTGGATTCCATTCCTTATCTCTATAAATCTCAAATCTGCCCTCATATGGAATACTGTTGCCATATCTAGGGTGGATCTTCCAATGATTCTCCTTCTTTTTTAGACAAGGTGCAAAAACGCGTTGTAAATTATCACATCATCGTAATGTGGCTTCTCTTTCTCTTTTCTACAAATGCTATAACGGCTTGCTGTAGGTGTTTTTATTATTAACTGATGGAAGGCTTGATTCACAAAGATATTTAGACATTGGATAATTATTTAATATCTTCTATTGACATTTTCCCAAAAGACATGGGAACAATCTTCTAACAAGATAAGGCTCCATACTATTAAGATTTGCAAGCAATTGTTTGAAGACAACAACATTCAAATCATGTCTTTCCCTGCTAGAGTCCAGATCTCAGTTAAATAGAGAATTTGTGGTCTTGGTTAAACCAAAATCTTGGTAAAATTGAAAAAAAAAGAAAAAGATCTGAATAAGCCTAAAGAATTAGTAACAAAATTACTGAATAGTGTTCCAAAAGATATTACTTAGATTTTTGTGAATTTCATGTTGAAATATCAATAAATGCTTAAAAGCAAAAGGATTGTCAACAAAATGTTAATCCTTTTTTTTTATGTTTTGTAAATATTTTTTTATTAAGGTTTATTAATATATATGTATATATATATATATATATATATATATATATATATATATATATATATATATATATATATATATATATATATATATATATTGTTTATATATATATATATATATATATATATATATATATATATATATATATATATATATAATATATATGTATATATATATATTAGAGATGTGTTGGGTACCCGGTTCGGATCCAGGTATTTTTAAAAATATATTTATAACAGATATAACCTTTAAGTGTTGAAACTAATAAATAATAAAAATAATAAAATAAATTTTGTTTTAGTGTTACCTTAAACTGTGTAGAAATTCATTACCAGATAAAAAATAGTGCTTCAACCAATAAACTTTTTAGTAGTTTCAGTAGTTGATAATTTCAATGTACTAAATCTAGACGTGTCTCACTTAAATTACGTTTTTGACTATATTTTTGCTTTAATATATTGAAAAATGTTGATAGCAGATAATATTGTAAAAAAACAACTGATTTATACAGATATAAATACCGTAAAGTAAAATGAAATAATATGAGAATACGAAAGAAATAAAAAGAAAAAGAAAGAAAAAAAAACTAGTAATTGCTGCTTTTTATTGGTTAGAGCGCGTGAGAAAGATACAATTTAAATGCAAAAAATAAATGAAAATTCAATTTTTTGCGTAGGTTGTTTTTAAATAAGGTTTTTGCAAAATGATCGTTTAAAATAAATAAACTTTTAAACCAGTGAACTTTTAACCAACATAGATGATTTTCAACTAATTTTTTTTCCCATAAAGTTTAGTATATTGGATAAAAAATCAATGGTTTTCGCAGGGCTGACAACACAGTTTTAAAAGTGGGGGGGGGGGGGACACACTACATCATTTTAAAAAAAATTCCTCATTTTTTTTATAAAAATTGTCATTCTTTAAAAAAAAAAAAGTTTCGCACAAAAAGGTTTGGGAGGGGCATATCCCCTCAGAAATGAGAGGTGGTGCGCTTCCTTTTGTTTCTGAAGTGAGCAATCTACCACTGCAGCACTGCTCCTAAAAACAAAGAAATGTTGCATAATTCTACAGGGTTTCAATTATTTTTTAACCATTTTTAAAAATCTAAATTCTGTTCAAATGAAGTTTTCAATCAATTATTGTCGAAAAAAGATTTGATTGTCTACTTTTTAATTATTCAGGCTTGGTCGGGATGCGGGTGCGATCACACTCAATAACTGACCACAGAAATAATATTTAATTGCGAAAAACCGGCCAGATTTTTTAGTTGTTTTGAGAACATTTAAATTTATGTTGGTTTCCTTAATTAAGTTCATTATTTTATCGTAAATTTTGTTTTATGGACATACATGGAAACATACATAAACTCGAATGTTCTTAAACATCTTTGTGCGGAAAATAAAAAAAGAATATTTGCGAACACAAAAAACCTGCCAATCTACAAACAACTAATGCTATTGGTTCAAAAAATACTAACTAAAATTTCTAGAGTATTCTGTTGAAATATTTTTAAAAATTGTATTATTTGAGTTTTGTTATGTTTTCGTTGAGATTTCTAGCATAAATTGTTTTAAGAATATCAAGTGAACTATTATTTTAATTCTCGTTGCCACATCTACAAAGCTATAAATGTTTTAAACTAACATTATTTGTTTACAAAAATAAATGTTTTAAATTCATCTTTTTTAACTTGTCAACGTTTTGTAAATATATTATAGGTTTTATTAGTATATTCTTATTTTTATATAATGGATGTATTTTTTACGTATCTAATGTATTTTTTATGTAATGTATTTTTATGAATGTGTTTTTTGTGCATTTAATTTTATGTATGTGTATTTTATTCATATGTAATCTTTTAAAGCAATTTGTGTGATTGATTTTGTAAACAAAAATACTTTCAATAATAACTGCGTTTTTTTAATAAAATTATTAATAATCATCAAAGTTAATACAAATAATTTTAACCACTAATCAATTTTCCTCAGTGTAAACGATAACTGATTCTTTCCCCCAAGAAAGAAAAGTTTTTAAGTTCTTAGAAATTGGTTTACTAACTTTACTTATTTTTGCTTCAGCCATTCTTACAAACTCTTACGAAAGTAACTTTAAGTTTAAGTTATACTTAAACTTAAAGTTACTTTTTTCTGTTTTAAATACTAATTAAAATTATAAAGCCCACTAAAGCCCACTTTAAACATCTTCAGCCTTATTGTAAGCAGTTCCGCTTCCTCCTCACATAATAATTTAACATTTTTAGTTTATTTCTATTTAGCTAATTGAATTTCTGCAGTAACTCAATGATTTAATTATTTCATTTGTTCATCTTACTAAAGAAAATTGTTTCAAATGTGTTAAACTTTCCAAACTACACGAAACATAAAACAGTTATTGAAAAAACTTTTTTATTTATAAATGAATCGTCTAGCGTTAGTTTTATTGGTTGAATCTTGTTGGACGTTTCAGGGCCAGGGACTGCATTATTTTGGCGGCCTTTTTTGTGCCACAGCGTAAAAATGACAAAAAAAATACCGAATGGTCTTCTTGACTATTTCGCGGCCCCCAACATTGTGAGTCTCGAGGCTATAGCCCTTCTACTCCCACCCCCTACCTCCTCAATCCAGCACTGGAAATAAGACATAAGTATATAAATAAAATTATATATATTCTTTGATAAATCGAAGAACATTTGTTTCCTAATTAAACAATCATTAATAGTATTTTGTTGCTTTATACAAAAAATGTCACTTAATTTTATAAAAAAAATTATAAAAGAGCGACGTTTCAAAAATATTTGCTCTAATCATATTTATTTTGCTTAAAGTTTTTTCTTTAACTGTCTCTCATCGGTCCAGTTAATCTTATTGCGCTTTTTAGTTTGTTTTTGAAATGTTCTCAAAATGACTAAAAAATCTGGCCGGCTTTTCGCAACTAAATATTATTTCCGTGGTCAATTATCGAGTGCGATCGCACCCGCTTCCCGACCAAGCCTGATTATTTCGAACCCTGATAACGTTTTTCATTTGTCACAAACAAAAAATCATAAAAGAAATCAAAATAAAATTCATCAAAAAAGTGTTGTCTAAATTATTTTTTATTTCTTTGAATTTTTTATTTCTTTTTTTAATGGACTCTGCCGGGTACCCGGTCTTGTAACCGGTTTTTACCACTGGTTACCTGGAATCAGGAACTTGGCCCATTATGCTTCCGGCACACCTCTATATATATATTAATATATATATATATATATATATATATATATATATATATATATATATATATATATATATATATATATATATATAAATATATATATATATATATATATATATATATATATATATATATATATATATATATATATATATATATATATATATATATATATAATGAGGTTTTAATGTTGTTAACTTTGTGACATATATTTAGAAAAGTTTTACTAGTAATTATTTGAATTTTTTTTTTTTTGAAATGAACTTTTTTTAAAAAAGATTAATGCTTTATAAATGATTTTTTTATGATGGAATGATTTGTTTGAAAAATTGAGTTAAACATTTTTGACAGTACATATATAAAAAATGTTTTTATTATTACTGTTATTTTTATTTTTAATTATAATAGTAATATTATTGTTATTATTATAAATTATTAAATAATTATAAGAGAATATTATTGTTATTGCTATTATTGTTATTATTATCATTATTATTATTATTTTATTGTTATTATTATATTATTATTATTACAATTACTATTTGATTAACTATTATTGAGTTAAAAACATAGGAGACTGGAGTCCTACTTCAAACAATCGGTAATGAAGTTGGAACTAATACTGGGAGAACAAGGCGATGTGGTTGGTTGGATTTAGTGGTTGTTAAGTATACACACATGATAAATGGATATACAGCGTATGGCTATTATAAATTTTATAATTTCCTATATAATACATTTTTATGTATTGAATTGATTTTTTTGTGTTTATAAAAAGGAAAGTTCTGTAGACATTTTGAATTACAGTAAATATTGCAAATCTTGTTGTTTACTTTATTTCAATAAATAAACAGTTCCGAATGAAGTACTGACTATTTTTTTATTCTTACATTTAATTATAAAATGTTTTATTTTATAGTTTAGCTTTGACAAAAATTGATGTTCTGGACACATTAAAAGAAATAAAGATAGCTATTGGATACAAATTAAATGGGGTACTTTTACCATCTTTTCCAGGTAAGTTATGTAAAAATATAAATAAAAGACGGAAATAAAAATTGTCTGATTTATTATTATTATTATTTTTTTTTTTTTGTAAAATTTTATTGTAATTCTAAGTTTGAGACAAGAGTTTGAAAAAATAAAAATTAAAAAGTTTTATTTGTTAAAAATTTGACATTTTTTTTTGAAAATTAAAAAAAAAAAAATTTAAATTACAAATTTATTGATCAATAAAATATTTAGTTGTATCAAATAAAAAAAAAAAAACGAGCAGATTACCTTTTGGGAATTCAAAATTTTATATTTTTAATTCTTCTAAAACGTTGGTCATTTTTTTAACAATTTTAGCTAATACCAGTAAAATTTATTATTTAGAGTACAGGTTATAAAATATTGAGTATGTAGTATCACTGGTATCTCAAAAATATTTTATTTGTTTGATGCCAAGTGTTTGCACTAATTTAGGTAACTTATTTTCTTTTTTTTTTAGCTAATCTCAGCATTCTAGAAAAAGTTGAAGTTGTGTATGCAACTCTACCAGGCTGGAATGAAAGTCTAAAAGATATTCGCAAGTTTGAGGATTTGCCAGAAAATGCTCGAAAATATATTAAATTTATTGAAGATTATGTCAATGTACCAGGTAATTTTTTTAAGTTTTAAAATTTTGTTTAGTTCATTTATTTTAGGGAGCTGTGAGGGCCTCAGTAAGAACATTGACTGATATTGGGAGAATATGCAAAGGTATTGTGCAAAATTGACTGACAATTTGGGTTGGGTGGCAAAAAGTTTTTTCCATTATTCTTCCCTTCTTTTTTTTTTTTTTTTTGCAAAAAAAAAAAAGAAAAAAAAAAAGAATGTCCATTCATCCTTTAATTTTATTCATTTATGTTGTAATTAATAGAAATTAATTGTAATTAATTAAAAAAAATAAGCTTCTATATAAAGTATTCATCAATAGTTTCTATTATTTTGTTTTTTTCACACATTCTAGATTAAATGGTTTTTTTAAATATTGTCATTAAATTATAGAATAATACAAATTTAATTACTTAATTACTGTGCTTAAAATTTAAGGACTTATTTGTTGTTATTGATTCTATTGAGTCTGTAAATTATATTTACTAGCTTTATTCAGAATGATATACTTTAGAGAGAGAGCCAAAGGGTTGAAGTACAGAGGAAAAAACTAGATGAATTGTTAGAGCATGCAGGGACAGATACAGTAATGCGTCTTTGCTGAATGCCAAGTCAAACGAGAATGAGTTTTGGTTGATGCAACTAAAGGTTATCTTGGGACAGAACATGTCCAACTACAATTACAATGGGTTTTTAAAAAGTTCTAGAGAACACTTTTGCAAGACTATGATAGGAATCATAAGCTGTGGAAGAATTAAATTAAGAAATGACTTTAACAATGAAAGCCATAGCGATTTGGATGTTTAACAAAGGGTCAACCTGTTTAACTGGAATAGCATAAAGAGTATGACCATAAAATCCCAGAGTAAAATTATGAGAAAAGTTCTTTGCAAATAGTTCAGCCTTATCCTTAAGAAAGGTGATAAGATCAGATCCATGAATTAGAGATAAAATGTTTGACTTTGACTTTTTAAGATTTTAAGATTTTCCAAAAGTCTCTAAAGTCTAACTTCTGAGATAAGATTAAGATAAGATTAAGATAAGATTTAGTAAAATGGAAATAATGGAGCTTAGTATCAGACAGCACCTTTTTTACATTGATTTCTTGTAATAATAAAAAGACTTTTGTTCTCAAAAGTATTTTTTTTTAAATATGAAAAAATGATTATAATTAGATATAGCAGCTGTGCAGAAAAGTGAAACCCATAGAGTATAATTAGGCTTGACTTGAAACCAACAAAAAGTAATAAAAGTTTCCATTTCTGCTTGGATAAAAAGCCCAAAATAAAAAACAAAAAAAGAATCCCAATCAGCTTTGGGGTAGTGGGATGATCTTGTGCCCAGCTTTGGGATGATAGGGTAAATCCAAAGAAGAAGTACAAGATAAAAGATTTATAGAGAGAATACAAGCTAGGGTCAAAGGTAAGACACAAGTTAAGAAGTAAAGGTTAGTAATTAGGGTTGTTTGGGAAATGAGTCTTGAAGTTTATTATTTGAGTAAGTGATTGAGAAATACAAAAGTTATGACATTGCCAGCAGGGTCAGTGATCAGTTAGAGCCAATCCAAAAAGTTACATTTAAAAGAGTGGTCTTGAAAAGAAAAAGAAAGGTAAAGAATAAAGAGAAAGCTGATAGCGCACATAAAAGAGTGGTCAGATGAGCATTTCTTGACAAATAGATGAATTAATATGTAAGTATACGCCCAAGCAAGCATGTGACTATTTGAGTCTTGGTGAATCAAAGGATAGAAACCATCAATGCTGAGATCTGAAAAAAGGAACACCCAAATTTAAATTAGTCTCGCAAAGCAAGTCTGGTGAATTTTGTAGGATAAAGTTAGGATTCAATTGATGGAATGATACTTTGAAAACCTTGAATATTTGTGAAAGATATATTGAAACAGATTGGTGGTTTTATATGTTTAATATTATTGGTTACTTTAGGCATTGTTTAAATTAAAGAGAACTTCATAGATAGAGCATGGTACTGTAAGCAATAAGCTATGCAGATGTGTCAGTCCTGCTTACTACCCCAAAGTTGTAATTTAGTGCTCCTTATGTGCTCTGGACTATGTAAACCAAAAGCATTAACAGGGAAACCGTCCATGGGCAACATGGTACTGTTAATACTCTGATATTTTAAAGCTGTTGATGGAATCAGCTTCTCTGAGAGCTACCATAGAGTTTATGAAAACTTACTACTAGCCACCTTTAGATACATTAAACTGAGTTTTAGAGCTGTGCCCTCATTTGGAGATAGTACGAAGAGTTGCATAGCCACTATCACTGCGCCAGAGGTTTAGACAAACCTACATGTATAGCAAATTTGGGGTTACAGTAATCGAGACAACTTAAATTTTAAAACAGAAATAATTGATGCCACTACAGGCGTGAAAGGTATTAGATAGTATTGATGACAGAAAGTACACTTCATCTTGTATTTGCTTCCCAAGCAAAGGCAAGATAAAGTGTACTACCTGTCATTAATACTATCTAATACCTATCATGTTTTATAGCAGTTAAAGTTATATTTAGATTCTGTTTCTAATGTTAAAGCTTTTAATGAACTTGCATTTCCAAATTATTTGATGTAAACAAGCGACAGGTGCTAGTCTAAGTCTTACTAAAGTTTAGTCAGACATTTTATAATAAATATATTTTAACATAAATATTAAGTTTTGGCTGTATGTTATAAATGTTTATTATTTATTAATATTATTGTTTTGTTTTTTTTACTTATACGTAATTATAATATTGAGTTAAATTTTCTCTCTCTAAATATTTTTTTATCTTGAGAGTGCTATTTTTTGTGAACTTCATAAAAGATTTTGATTTTATGTGTGTTTTTTTTTCAATCATAGAAAAAACACATATACACACAATACACAGCTTAGTTTTTTTTGAATTAATAGTAGAATCAATAAAATAACAGACACGTTTTTAAAAATAACTAAATAATCTTTTTTTAAAAAAAAAATTTCAGAAAATTAAAAGGCCAATTGTCATTATTAATACTTTATTATTATTGTTATTATTGTATTAAAATTATTGTTGTCACTACCATTGTTACTAATTATATTAAAAATTGTATTGCTCATTTAAAAATAGATTTATTTTTACTTTTTGTGTTTTAGTAAAATGGGTGAGCGTTGGAAAGTCTCGTGATGCTACAATTGAAGTGTTTTAGAATAATTTGTGGCATTACCAAATAAATGTCAAAGTCATCACCTTTGTTGTGCATTGTTAGTATATTATTGATTGTGTATACAATAGGTCAAAGTTCTAATAATCATGTCTAGCAGAGAAGTGTATCAATCATGTCTAACAGAAGTGGTTCGACAATAACATTAGAGTTGTTAAAATATCCTTGTTAAACCAAGTTAAGTAATTAACCAGTTTAAGTCATATTTTAAAAATTTACGTTTTAGCGTTTTTCACAGCAAAATGCTTTTTATTCTTGTTTTATTATTGTTATTAGTTCACTATAGTAAAAAATTTTTAACTTGAAAAAAAAAGTATTTCATCTTGATATAAAAGTCCCTTTGCATATAACTTTTTTTTAAAAACAATTTTAATAGATTGTCATTATGTGGTTTTTGATTGTCAATTTTTTTTATTTAAATAAAACAAATTTAAATAATATAAACAAAAAATTATATATATTTTATATTATTATTTGCGTTCAATGTTTTGTAATTTATATTTTGTGTAAGCAGTAAATAATTTTTCTCTGATCATAAATTTTAACATTTTCCTATCGTAATTTTTAACATTTTTGTAATCATTGTAATTTTAACATTTTCCTAATTGCTTATTTTTTACATTTATATAATCAAAAATATACAAACATAAAAATGATAATCAAATGTTTTAGGGGTCATTTTTGATCAATTTTGATGCCTTATCTCTCCCCTCTTATCACAACATAACTCTTTAGTAACAAGTCTTGTACCAGTTGTCACAAAACCACTAATCCCTCTCTCCCACCCTAGAACATTATTTAATTATACTATTTTACTATTTAATTATATTTTTTAATTTTTCTTTTCTTTACAAAATGCTGAAAAAAACATTTCTAATGAATTTATATATATATATATATATATATATATATATATATATATATATATATATATATATATATATATATATATATATATATATATATATATATATATATATATATATGTATATATATATATATATATACATATATATATATATATATATAGTGTTTAAATCTTTTAATTATATAAGAAAAAATGACATGACCAGAAGAAGCCAATTGCAGAAACAAGTATTGGTTTTATATAGAAATCTTTTGCGTATGGCTAATAATAGAGCTGGAATGAAGATTCATATTCGTCAAGAATTCCAACGTAATAAAGATATTCCAAAAACAAATATAATGCAAATTGAGTATTTGTTACGTTTAGGGAATAAACGACTTGCTGATCTTAAAAATGGCAGCATTGTATCCATAGGAACGTTTATTTAAAGTGTTTCTAATTTAAGAAGATATTTAATTAATGGATAAGTGTTTTTTAAATATTTTCTCTGGAAAGAAACCTTTATAGTAGACTAAAATTAGAAAAAAATTAAAAGTTTATTTTAAACATTATTTATATTTATATAATTGTATCATGCAATAAAAATAAATTGTTTAATAATTTTTTATAATATAATTGTAAAAAACAGTTTAAAAAACAGGTATTTTATCTCTAATAAATAGTGTTTTGTAATAATGTTACAAGCTGTAAAGAGTTGTTTTAATACTATGGTATTACCAGATTACATTTTTGTATTGCTTAGTGTGTTTTTGTGTGAGGCTTTTTTAACTTTAGATGCTTTCTAATGTATTAAGTAGAAAATGTAAAACCCAGTCAAACTTTTTTATTTGCTCAAGATGCTTTTTTCAAACATTTTCTCCAATCATCAGAAATCCGAAGTATCAAACCGAAGTTGTTTACAGTCAACCATTCAAGTTAAGATATTTGCAAAGAAATTTACTTTTCAATAAAAAATGGAAATCAACAGGAGTAGAAAAAACTTTGAGTAGTGATGTAAAGAGACTTTTATCACTAGCATATCCTGAACGGTGGACTATTGGAGGTAAGGCGACAAAATAAATTAATTAAACTCAAGTAATGTGATTTTATGTTAAACGTTAATTAAATTTTATAAATTTTGTATTAAGCAAAAAGTAAAACAAAAAAATAATCTCCAAAAAAAAAAAAAAAAAAAGTTTTTTGAGATTTCTATAATTTATTTCAAATCTTTTGATTTAGGATCTGTTGTTCTTATGCTTGTCTTTTCTTCAATATCAATGTCTGTTCCTTTTTTTATGGGAAAAATTATTGATGTTATGTATTCTTCAAAGGCTGAAGATCATATGGAGATGTTGAGTTCTTTACGTTCAAATTGTTATCTTTTATCAGGAGTATTTTTTATTGGTGCCTTGGCTAATATGGGAAGGTTGTACATGATACAAACAGCAGGTTAGAATGATTTCACTACTATAAACAGAATAAAATTGTTATTGTCAACAATTGTTTTTGATTTTTTTTAAGTTTAATAAAATCAAATAAAAGCATTTCCCAAAAATCACGCATGGAAACTGGTATATGTTTTATCTATTATTTTCATAATATTTTCATATATATATATATATATATATATATATATATATATGTATATATATATATATATATATATATATATATATATATATATATATATATATATATATATATATATATATATATATATATATATGGGCAATTCAATGAGAAAGAGGGAGGAAAAAAAAAGCGAAAAAGTTATGAAAACACAAACTCCAAAACTTTTTTTAACTATTAAAAAATACTTTTAGGCAAAAAAGTTATTTAAAAAAATTGTTTTATCATACCATAGCATGGTTTAAAGTTGTAAGGGTTGTATAAACATGTCCTGATACTTATTTACTGTCTTGTTGTGTCGCGTTAAAGTTCATATCGTATACCCATTATTGAAAACTTTGATAATGTTATATTGCATTCTTTTAACATAATATACGTGGTTGTTAATAATCATTTATACCTTTTGTAATCTTAATAATTTTAATAATCATTGATATTTTGTCTCGAATCATTGATTGCGTTGTTTTAGTTGCTATTTTTAAGCATTAGATTTTTCATTATGACTGTCACAATTATGACCAACACAACAACAAAAAACATAAAAATGCTTGTAAAACTAAAGAAAAAAACTATGAAAAAAAAACTCAGCATATAATAACATCAATATGTGCTAAATACACACACCAAACGATTTTTTTTTTGTTCTGACTAAGTTATTTTGTTCAGAAGTGGTAAAAAGTAAGCGTTATGACCGTCACACTACGTAGAGTTAATTTTTGGAAAAAGTTTTTTGATAAGCTTAAAGAGTGTCCACTAATCAGTTGTTTTTATTCATCTAAATAATATATATATATATATATATATATATATATATATATATATATATATATATATATATATATATATATATATATATATATATATATATATATATATATATATGTGTGTATATATGTATATATATATATGTATATATATATATATATATATATATATATATATATATATAATATACTTGATAAACAATGATAAATAAATTATAGTTATTGGATAAATATGCGTAGGCCAAAGAATCATTCAGCAACTTCGCAAGAAGACTTTTAAATCAATAATTTCACAAGAAATTGCTTTTTTTGACCAAACATCAGCTGGTGAGCTTACCAATCGATTATCAAATGATACAATACTTGTTGGTAAAGCAGTAACAGATAATATATCAGATGGTTTGAGAGCTCTGACACAAGCTGTTGGAGGCATTTCATTAATGGTAATAAATTTTGTTGCGTTTATAATATTTTACATGGGAATATAAGATTTAATATTATTATTTATTTTTATCAAGATATTCTGAAATTATGTTTACTATTTTAGGTTATTTTATAAAAATCAATTTGCATTCTTTTATGCATATTGTAGTTTTGAGTGTTTTTTCTATATATTCTTATCTTTTATTATTTATTTTATGATTCGTTATCATTTATTTTTTATTTATAGGTATACACTTGCCCTAAACTTGCTGGAGTGTCATTGTTTGTTGTTCCTCCGGTTGTCTTGTTTGCTGTTATCTATGGTAGATATGTACGAAGCATAACAAAAAGAGTGCAGGATAAACTTGCTGACTCAAGCAAGGTTGCAGAAGAGCGACTGAGTAATATGAGAACTGTTAGAGCATTTGCTCAGGAGGAGAATGAAATAGTGAAATACGATTCAGAAATCAATCATTTTTCTAAATTATCTCAAAAAGAAGCATTGGCCAGATCTGCTTTCTTTGGCTTTGTATATAATATAATATTAATTAGTTTATATAGCATTATAAAATTGTTTTGTTATGTAAAATGTTGTTAAAAAGACTGAAAAAAATATAAAAATTTTGTTTTTATTAGAATTCCTTCACAGGCAATGTTATTGTTTTGGCCGTGTTATACAATGGAGCAGAAATGATGGTTGAATCAAACATTACTGTTGGTGATTTAACTTCTTTTTTAATATACACTGTTTATGTTGGCATCTCTATTGCAGGTACCATTTAAAACATATTATATTTGGTTTAAATTCTTTAATTTACATATGCAATCTTTAATGTCCTGTAATATCAACTTTGCATTTTAATATCCTGTAATATCAACTTTGCATTTTACTATTATAAATTTAACTATATTGTAACTATTTATGTAAATAATTATAATTGTAGATTTTATTTACTTTTAGTTTTACATATAATGAAATTTCCTTAAGTAAAAAATAAAGTAAAAAAAAAAATATTCAGAAAAAATAAAAAAAAAGTTTTATTTAGTGAAAAATTATAACTTGAAGTCGGTAAAAATAATTGTTATTACTTTTTAAATATTGTTTTATACCAAAGCGAACCTGAGTTTGCTAGCAAGTTTTATACATTTTCTAGCAAGTTTCTTATAAGACCAAAATTTTAACAGCAACAAATGATTGTTGTGCACCAAAACAATCTTAGGTTTGTTAGCAATTTTTTGTTGCTAAGCATAAATCAATAGGTTGCACAGTTGGAGTTAAATACATTTTATCAAAGACTAAATATGTAATCTCAATTTCAGCGATCAGTGTTTATAAGAACATTACAAATATAAAAAAGTTTTAGTTCAAACGCAGTACAAATAAAATAATAAAGCATATTATTACCAAATACATGTTTCACTCTGATAGACTGTTACTACATTGATATATAAGGCCGGGTGAATAAAAAAAGACTAATGGGATGGTAGTTAGCCAAATCAGATTGCTCTCAAGAATTTTTGAAAATAGGTATATCAGATGCATAAGCTGTTGCATCTCGGAATTATAAACGAGAAATTAGTTGAAATTAGAACAAGAAAAAATAACAGTAACAAAAAAATTTTATTCTTGAAAAAACAGGCAAGACGAGACTCGTTAAATTTCTGAAATAAACCAAGCAAATGAAACGAAATAGATTTGTTTTCTCACTTATTCTTATTCTTCTTTATTCTTTTTTTTTTCCGAATTTTTCGAAACTTTCATTCAAGTTTATTGTAACTCAATTTTTGTAAACATTATTTTATGAAAAAATCAACGCTTTATCATGCTTTTTATTCTCGTATACTAACACTACAAGAAATTAGGAATTATGAAGTTTTATATTTACTTTATAACAGTAAATTGGATCTGATCAGCATCAGTACCCGTTGCACCTTCTACTGGATGATCAATAAATAAACATTTATGTCTATAATTTATATTATATGTTTATATGTTATTTTATATGTCTATGTATGTCTTAGATGTATTATGATTTATATGTATATATACATATAGATGTATTATGATTTATATATATATATATATATATATATATACATATATATATATATATATATATATATATATATATATATATATATATATATATATATATATATATATATATATATATATATATATATATATATATATATATATATATAAATCATAATACATCTATATGTATATATACATTTATGCTTTATAAGAAGGAGATCCAGGTTCAAAACAAGCATTGGACATATTTTCACGTAATTTATAATCATATAAACATAAAATTACATATTATAAAAACAAATAAATATTAAATTCAAAACTATATCAACAGGAATACAAATTCTTATTCGAGAAGCCATTTTTAAAAAACTTACTAAACTAAAAAACTTTGTAGATAAACAAGGATTTCTGATTAGCTAAAGCGTTACCTTATCTTTTGTGAGAAAAAAATGCTGTAATTTAAAAAAAAAATGTTAATTTTCATTAAATTTGGTACAGCAAAAGAATTAGAGGTTTTTGGATAAAGTCTCGTTTTGTCTGGAAATAAAGTGAGATTAGATTTTTTTTATTTATTGTTATAACAAGATGGTAACGGTAAATTAAAAAGTAAGCGAATGTTTTCCAAAACAATAAATTGCTTCGTTTCGTCAACCTCGCTAAAATTTACTGTTTTATTTTGAGATGCAACAGCTTACAGATGCAGCTTTCAAGCAGGCTGGAAAACAAGACTCTGAATAGCACTTGTTAAATAGTTTTGAAAGTATAGACGACAGCTCTGGAGAACACTTCTGCAAGACTATAACAGGTATGTTGTCCAGGCCACAAGCTGTAGAAGAGTCTAAGCAGAAAATCACTTTAGATACAGAAGCTGGAGTCATACGAATGTCAAGCAATGGATCAACCTGTTTGACGGCTAAATCAGGTAGAACGCAACTAATAGAATCAAGAGATGATATTGATGAAAAGTTTTTAGCAAACAATTCAGCTTTGTCTTTAGGTGAGGTGAAAAAGTCTGAACCATACAAGAGAGGTGGAATAACAGATTTGCCCTTATTAATGATACTATTAAAGATTCTCCAGAAGTCACAAGATCTTTTCATTTTGTGATGAAATACGGGATTTTATGACCTGAGAATAGCGAGATTTGGCATTAGACAAAACCTTTTTACAATGGTTTCTAGCAGTAAGCAACAGGCGTCTGTTTTTTGGAGAGATGTTTTGCTGATAGATATGGAAGTAGTGGTTTTGTTTGGAAATTCCAGCAGCACAATGTGAGAAAAACCATGGAGGAGAGTGAGACTTGACCTGGAATTGTCGAAAGAGAATAAAAGATTCTAAGAATGAGATAATAGTTTTAGAGAGATCAAACTGTGATCAGCAGCACCTAAAGGTGAATGTGGAGAAACTAAGTACTGACTAGGATCAGAAACAAGACATAAGTCGAGTAGAGAAGATAAATGATTTGGATTGTCTGGAAAGCAAGTTGGAAAATTGATTATTTGAGTTAGAGATTGAGATAGGCAAAAGTTGTGGGCTTTAATGCCTTCAGAGTCACTGGTGCTAGAGCCAAGCCGTCTGTGTGATGAGCATTAAAGTCACCAACAACAACGATATTGACTGATGAATAAAGAGAGGGTCGGTCAATTTGATTAGAAATAATATCGAAGAGAGTGGAGTCTTGAGATGAAGGAGAGCGATATAAAACAAAGAGAAAGATGATAGAGTGGTGCTAAACGAAAACACATAAAACAGGCTTGGTCGGGAAGCGGGAGCGATCGCTCTCGATTGCTGACCACGTAAATAATATTTAGTTGCGAAAAGCTGGCCAGATTTTTTAGTCGTTTTGAGAACATTTTAAAAAGCAAAAAAAAAAAAGCGACAAAGAATAATTGGACCGAACAGAGACAATTACAAAAAAAAAAAAAGTAGGCAAATAAAATCTTTAAACGCGAAAAAACTTTAAGCTAAATAAATTACATTTAAAACAAGTATTTTCGAAACATCGCTTTTTTATAATTTTTTTATAAAATTAAGCGATATTTTTTGTAACAACTTACGATTGTTTAAAAGGGAAACAAATATTCTTTATTTAACTAAGTTAGCAAGTTTTAGTTTTACTTAAGCTAAATTATTTTATAAATAAAAAAGTTAATTTTTTTAATACCTTATTTATGTTTCGCGTAGTTAGAAAAGTTTAACATATTTGAAGCGATTCTTCTTAGTAAGATAAACAAATGAAATAATTAAATCATTGAATTACTTTAGGAATTAAATTATCAAGATAGAAATCAACTAAAAAGGTTAAAAATACTTAATGACCAGGAAGCGAAACTGCTTCACAATATCGCTGATGATGTTTAGTGAGTGGGCTTTTTAATTTTAATTAGTATTTAAAGCAGAAAAAAGTATAACGAGTTTTAAGAATGGCAACTTAAGCAAAAATAATTAGAGTTAGTAAACCAATATCTAGAAACTTTTCTTTGTATCTAATTATTTGCTGTATATATTTGTGTTCTGCCGTGACCTCTGGCGCGATGCTTGTTCATCCGCGAGTTACTTTGTATGCGTTGTTTGTGCTTAGTAACCAGAAACTTCTTACATGTTTGTTACATAATTAGTTTTATTAACTTTAACGATTATAACTTTGAAAACGCAATTATTTTTGTAAGTCTTTGTTTAAATTATAAAAATTGCTTCAAAAGATCAAAAGACATTACAATAAAAAACAGATACACAAAATTACATTTACATAAAGAATACAATCTCTTTTAAAATAAAAAATAAGAATATACAAATAAAATCTATGATTTATAATAAACTTTTAAAATGATGACAATTTAATTAATATATATTTAAAACATTTATTTTCGTAAACAAATAATATGTATTCTTAAAACAATGCTAGAAATCTCAAAACGTAACAAATCGTGAATAATACAATTTCTAAAACATTTTAACAGAATGCACTAGAACTTTATTTCGCTTAATCAGCGTTTTTTTTGAACCAATAGAATTAGTTTGTTTGTTAATTTGGCGGGTTTTTAGTGTTTGCAAATATTCTTTTTATTCTTTCGCACAAAGATGTTTTGAGAACATTCAAGTTGTATTCATGTATGTCCGTAAAACAAAAATTCTTTGTTTCGTACATAAACTTAAATGTTCTCAAAACGACTAAAAAACCTGGCCAGTTTTACGCAACTAAATATAATTTCCGTGGTCAGTATTCGAGAGCGATCGCTCCCGCTTCCCGACCAAGCCTGATAAAAGAATAGTCAGTGGATTCAAACCTAGTTTCCTGACAAATGGGTGAATTCTTACTAATGTAAATGCCCAGACCAAGTGTGTGACTATTGGAGTCTTTACAAATTAAAGGAAGATAACCATCAACACTAAGATTACAAGATGAGACTATTATTAAAGTTATTATTAAAGTTGATTAGTATTTTATTATTAAAGTTAATTAGTACAACACAGAAGTTCATGTGTTTTAGCAATATTATAAAAATATGATTTTTTTAATTTATATATATTGTTGCATACTATTATTTGTAGCTTAACAATTACAAACAATCCTAATAATATTTTTATGTATTATGTAATATTTAAAAAAGTTTTCAATGTAATATTTAATACTTTATGCGATGTGTTCAACTAAGTACCATTTTTTATGCGATATGTTTAACTGTGCGCCATTTTTGTGCAACATGCTCAACCATGCGCCATTTTTATACAATATGTTCAACTGTGTACCATTTTTGTACAATAAATCTTTTAAAATTTGTTGTTGTTTTTAGGTAAAAAGTAACAGTCATTTTCATATAGTTATGTATATTTTTTTTTTTAGGAATGGGGTCTTTTTACACAGAGTTAATGAGAGGTATTGGTGCAAGCTCTCGCATATGGGAACTTACTGATAAAGAACCTGAAATACCGCTTAGAGGTAGAATAACGATTTTGACATTTTGACTGAGTCTCTCTTCAATTAACTCCACTTTTTGGAAAAATCTTTAATTTAATCGTAAATTAAGTTCATTAAACTATAATTTTTTTTTATATCCAAACGCAAATTTTTAAATCCATGTATATTATTTCATCGTTTTTCTCCACTTTTATTTTTATGGAGTTAATCAAAGAGTGCACTGAAAGGCTCCTATATATAAATATGAAATTTTTTTATTTTAGATGACTATTTATACTCGTGCCACTCTTTTAAAGTTTAACATTTTTACATTTTTTGAGTTTTTAAGGGCATTTCAAACAATTGGCACAAATAGAAGTTTACAAATCATTAACTATATAATAACGTCATTACAAGTAATGAAAGGTTTTTATCTATACCGAGTATGCGCATTTTTATTACTATTATTTTTGTTAACTGGTGGTATTTTAAAAATGCACAAGTTTGTTATAAAATTAAAAAAATGTGTTTTTTAAACATGATAGCTTTGAGAACCAATACACAGCAATTAGAAATTTGTTAGATGCTTTTTATCTCTTACAGTTCACCCACTTTAAACCCTGGCTGTTTAAACGGAGTTTGTTCAGGGTTAGGTAAATTTCTTGGCCGACTATTATTCTTGTTAATGTCCTGCTATCATGTCAGAAAGTTTTATATAGCCGTTTCATATAGCCTGTATCATATAGATCTACTTGCAAACTCTGAACCTTAAAAGTACATTTAAGAATTTTACATATTTTTTTTGAGATATTTGTCTTAAGCTGAAAATTTATATGTATATAAATTATATACATATAAATTTTCAGCTTAAGACAAATTTTCAGCTTAAGCTGAAAATTTATGTATATAAATTATATACATATAAATTTTCAGCTTAAGACAAATATCTCAAGAAAATATGTAAAATTCTTAAATGTACTTTTTAGCTAATCAAATCAAATGTATTTTGAAATAGATTTTACATTTCATGAACTATTTACGTATAGTACAAGTACTAATTTTAAGTAAACACCATAATAAAAAACTAAAACAAACAAACGTAAAACAGTACAAATACTTAAACGAAAAACTTCATGGAATAATAATTAAGAAGTTTAATAAATTTAGGACAAAATTCAATTTACTTTTATACATCTAACAGGCATGGTGAAAGTTGAAATATTTGTATGTTTATACTTATGTCAAATAATGTTACTTTTTAAAAAGTTGCAATGCTCTGCCCCAAACGTGAAAGCAACAAGTTGATGAAATAATTTATTTGCTATTATAAACTAGGTTTATATTTATCAATGAATTTTAAGTATTGTTTTAGAATCTCTAAGTGTTCAGAAATTATGGCTATATAAAGTTTGTAACCCTCTTAAATTGAGGGGGGGGGGTAAACTTATATGGCTATAAACTTTATATGGCTATAATTTATGAACTCTGAGAGATATTACTATGATACTTAAAATTTATCAATGAATATAAACAAAGTTAAGAATTTCAAAAAAATTATTTTTCCAACTAGTTGCTCTCACGTTTGGGGCTAGGGGATAAAAATTTAGGTCTTTTTTAGTTTCCTGTCTCCAATCATCGCAATATTTTGCAAGGCATGATTGTTTGACATAAGTATAAACATACAAATGTTTCGAGTTTGAGCCATGTCTGTTAGCTCTCTACACCAAAACTCAAATGTCTGTTATCTCAAACACCAAAAAATGCTGGATCCTTCACTGATCTGTGGTTCGATGCCTACTCTAAGTATTTTTTCGACATGAAAGAAACGCAAACTTCCAAGTTAAATGCTCCTTTGCAGTTCTCTGTGATGCGGCAATTAGGTCTTCTTGGAGTTCCTAAAATAACCACAGAAAAAATGTGTATATATTTATTTTTGAATCACATTGATACGTTTTGATCTAGCTTAGTTTACAACTAAAGATCGAAAATCCTAGACTATCTTTCAAGGAAACCATTTTGGATTTGGATTTGTTTGATTCAACATTCCAGTAACAGTATTTAGAAGAAAAACATCATTTGATAACAAAATGAGGCTAAAATTATAAAGTTTGTTAAATGGCTGAAAAAAAGCCTAAAGATCAACAAAAAATTACTTTACAGTAGCCAAAGTGTTAATTTATCTACCATAATTAGTAAGATAGGCACAACATATTTCTTAAATTAATAAGTACAGCATTTTTTTTTTGGTACAGGAACACATAGAGAAAACATTATTGAACAAATTAACTGGATTTGATATCAGAATCTATTGGCGCCAATGCTTGGAAATTGCCCTAAATATAGTCAAATATATATATGTATATATATATATATATATATATATATATATATATATATATATATATATATATATATATATATATATATATACATATACATATATATATATACGTATATATATATATATATATATATATATATATATATATATATATATATATATATATATATATATATATATATATATATATATATATATATATATATATATATATATATATATATATATATATATATATATACAAAAGACTTAGCGTTGTATTTTTGTTAATAAGATTTAGCAACTAATAATATATAAATAATATGATTATGCTGGACTGAATAAGGCAGCTGACCGCTCATGTCCTTGAACTTGGGGGAGAGATCAGCTCGCTGAAAGCCCAGGCAACAATAAACAAAGAGATGATTACAATTCTAAAACAAAAAGAAATTGATCTTGAAAAAGAAATTACCATCCTGAAACAATGGGACCAACAAGCAGCAGAGTAACGAACTCAGTCACCCTAACGGACATTGTAAAAGGGGGTACAAAAATAACAGACAGATATAAAGCCATTGTTGTACAAGTCACTCGAGAACTGAACAAAAGAGAAAAAATTGAACATAAGGTAATTATAATTGGAGTCAATGAATGTGACTTAAAAGATCCAGAAGAAAGTAAAAAACAAGATAAGGAAAGCATCGAATCACTGATAATTGCCTTAGGACTCAAAAAAAAAATTGTCAAAAGTGTACGCAGAATAAAAAAACAGCAGCAAGTAGACTCGTCAAATGGAGCAACAAATACAACCAACACATTTGCAAACACGATAATTACAACTAAATGACCTCCACTAACAATAGTAGTACTCGATAGCCAAATTGAACTGTTAAAGAAGCGTAACAAGCTAAGAACAATGGAAGGCTGTGATAACGTGTACATTGATAGAGGTAAAACATAGACAGAACGAGATGTAGAAAAGAGACTAAGAATTGAAAAAGATGAGCATAACAGCAAACTAACTCGCGTTGAACAAGAAAATGGAAAAATCTTGAGATACAAAAAAGAGAGAAATGGAAAGCACTATTATTGGGGGATACGCAATGGTGTACTCGTGTGGGTGCCACGCAAAGAAGACCAATCAAATTTATATCAAAAGAACCAAGCAATAAAAATTGTTGCAGCCTCATTGACATGTGAACAAGAAAAATGACTTTATGGAATTGCGTCACCAATCAACAACTTAGTAACAATTATTGCTCAACATCATCATCTCAGCCTGCTAAATTATGCCGCAATTCCATCATCAAACATTAGCCAGATCAAAGCAACGAAAAGTGAATTCTTTCACCAATTCGGTTTGCCGCACAACGCCACAAACTCGTTGTCAGCTAACAGTTTAGTAATATTATCAAGCAATGCCCAATAACAACATCTCGGTCCGCAAATTTATACCACAACTTCATCATCAAATATCAACATGATCGCAGCAGCAAAAAACTACCGCCATCAACTAAGTTTGCCACACAACACCACAAACTTGCAGCAATTAATAACTCCATAGCGGCATTAAATAATGATAAACATATAAGATGTATATACACTAATGCAACATCGCTAAATGCAAACAAACTCTACGAACTCACAGCATATGTCTTAGTCAACTGTCCCCACATAATTTTAGTAAGTGAAACATGGTTCACAAGCAGATCAGTCCCACATCTGGATGGCAAGCAACCACTATTAAGTTGGGAGTTACTAGGAAAAAAAGAACAGAGTTATAGAGCAAGGAAATGGTTGACAGAAGACTTGAAAAGTTGAAGGTTGTATGAGTCAGGAAAACATGAAGATGGGAGAGAGTTCCAAAGGATTGAAGTGCAGGGAAAAAAACTAGATGAATAAAAGTTTTTAGAGCATGCAGGGACATATACAGTAAACGAATGAGACTTAGCTGAATGACGAGTAAAGCGAGAATGAATTTTAGTTGATGGAACTAGAGATGATAACTCCTTTGAGCAGTGACCATGATAGTATTTGTAGAAAAGAGAAAGTGATGCAACTTTACGACGATGGGAAAGAGGCTTAAGCTTAGCAGATAGTCCAGATCCAACAACATTTGCAATGCGTTTTTGAACCTTGTCAAGAAGAGAAAGTGAATCGTTAGAAGAACCAGCCTAAATATGACAACAGTATTCCATCCAGGGACGAATAAGAGATTTGTAGAGGTAGAGAATGGAATCAGAAGTAAGGAAATGGCGAGCACGATAAAGAGAAGCAACCTTAGCAGAAGCTAATTTAGCAATCGATTGTATATATGGTTTCCATGAAAGGTCAGTAGTAAGCGATAATCCAAGAAGACGTAAAGAGGAGGACTCAGTAAGAGGATTGCCATTCATTAATATAGGAATGTTGACCATATTACAGTAGTTGTTTGCAGTAAACAACTGGGTTTTGTTAGAGTTGAAATTCACAAGCCACTGTGAACCCCAATCTATTACTGAAGTGAGATCGAATTCAAGATCAGCTGCTTGTTCTAGGCGATCGAAAAGAGAAGACATTTTGTCAAGACAGGAGTATAAAGTTGAGTCATCAGCAAAAAGAGCTACTTTAGATGAAAGGCTGTCAGGAAGAATGTTTATGTAGATAAGAAACAAAACAGGGCCCAGGATGGAACCTTGGGGAACCCCAGAAGTTACTGGAAATAAAGAAGAGTGTTGGCCTTCAAGGATGACTTTAATAAACCGGTTAGAAAGAAATGATTTGGTAGTCTCAAAAACTTTCCCAGAAACACCATATGAAGCAAGCTTATGGAGAAGACCAGCATGCCAAACTTTGTCGAAAGCTTTAGACATGTCGAGAGCAATAGCCCTAGCCTCACCGCCTCCATCTAATGCACGATAAAATCTTTCAGTTACAGCAGTTAGCTAGTCAGCCATAGAGCGAGAGGATCGAAAACCGTATTGATTGTCTGACAGTAGTTTATTTGACTCAAGATGAGGGTTATCACGGAAGAGTTGTAATTTATGTTAGCAAAGACCTACCAGCTGTTTAAATTTTTATGTTTAAAAAAATCATGTACGACAAACCTTTTGGAAACTATGGACTTCCAAAAGGTTTGTCATACATAATTTATTTGGGAAAAAATCATTAATGACAAACTTGTAAAGAAAAAAAAAACACTAAATGTTGTTTTTCTCAACTTTTCATGTGCATTTGATTTAGTACAGCATACTAGCCTTATTGAAAAACTGAGCAAATATAAAATAACAGGTCAACTGCTTGCATAGATTCGTTCATTTTTAACAAATCGACGACAGCGGATTGTTCTAGGTGATCCAAGGATTGGTGCTAGGACCAATTCTATTTGCCATCTTCATTAATGACCTCCCAGACAACATTAACTCTTACATCAAAATGATTGCGGACGACATCAAGTTAATAGCACCAATCTGGCCAGGAAATGAAGATCTTGACACTAAAAGCCTGCAAGATGACATCAACAAGATAAGTGATTCATGCACTTGGCAAATGCAACTAAATCTTAGTAAATGCACATAGGAGGAGCAAGCAAATCAGGGATATACACTATGCTAGATCCACTATCAGGCAAAAAAAGAGATCTAACAACAACGATGATAGAAATAGACCCTGGAGTCACAATAAGTCAAGATCTTAAGTCAGAAAAATAAGTCATTAAAGCCGCATCCATCGCAAATAAATTTCTTGGACTGTTGAAAAATATGTTTATATCGCGAGATCCAGCACTATGGAAAAAAACTCTATACAAAATATATGTCAGACCACATTTGGAATATGCAGTATGCATTTAGTCACCATCAAAGAAAAAGGATCAAAAAACACTTAAAAAATTTCAGCGACAAGTCACCAAGATTGGACACGCAATGAGGCAACATAGCTATGAAGATAAGCTAATCAAACTCAACCTAACTAGTCTAACTTTGCATTGGCAAAGGGGCAACCTCATTCAACAATTTAAAATAATAAAAGAAAACAAGAAAGTAAAATGGTGTGTACCAACAACCACAAGAGAGCCAAAAGCGGGTTGTAGACGACAACTTAGCAAAGAATTAGTCTGTAACAGTGCACTGCGAAACAATTTCTTCACTAAAAGAATCATGAACTGTTGGAACTTGCTATCCGATACAGTGAATGCAGAAACAGTCAACGCATTCAAAAATCGGCTGGACAATCTCTAGCAAAGTTGCTACAGTGGCTTATCCTCAGATGGGTTACTTTGTGTGAGCTGATAAGCTCGCATTGCAGCTTATTATAACTAACTAACTATATATATATATATATATATATATATATATATATATATATATATATATATATATATATATATATATTTATGTGTGTGTGTGTGTATATATGTATATATATATGTGTGTGTATATATGTATATATATATGTGTGTGTATATATGTATATATATGTGTATATATATATGTGTGTGTGTATATATATATATTTACATTCCACAATATACATTCCACAATATTATGAAATAATAGTAATCCACAAGAAAATTATAACTTTTTAAAATATTTTCAGAAATTATTCTAAAAATAATTTAAAAAGTTATAGTTTTAACATTTTCTGAAGCAATTGAAAATTTGAAAGTTTTTTTAATTTGAAATTTGTAATTTTTTAAACATTTTAAAATTTTGAAATTGTAGATGTTAATTAAATTTTAGGTGATAATAATAAAATATTATGTTGTGTTTTATTAACTTTGATTAGAAAAATGCATGTGGTATTTAAACCTAATATACAAATGTTTTTAGAACAATATCTTATTTTTATTGAAATGTATTTGCTTACACTTGCTGAAACAATTGTGTGAATTTTTAAATGACTAACTGTTTTTAATACATCATATCAATTTTTCTAATTTTTTTATATGCTTAACACTTGTTTTCCTGTGTTTATGTTATGATAGGTAAAGTTTATAAACTGTCACATGTTATGATAAAAGTTTAAAATAATTTTCAAACTCAAAATTTATTTTTTTATATTGTACATGAACAGTTTGTCCATCATATAGATTATATACTGTTTGATTCACTAAAATACCAAGTAATTGCATTTGCAAGAGTTAAATGGAACAATGTAATATGCAAAATAGTTATTTTTTTATATGTTTTATTCTATTGTCAAATGTTTCATTTTATTGTCAAATGGGTTAGTGTCTTAATTATGGATGATATATTAGTGAATGGATGATGTATTAGTAAATGGGCAATGTATTAGTAAATGAATAAGGTATTAGCGAATAAATGAACTATTAGCCAATGGATGATGCAAGTGAGTAGATGGTGTATTAGTGAATGGATGATATATTAGTAAACAAATGATGTATTAGTAAATGGATGGTGTTTTATTATTGTAGTAGAATAAAAATGTTTTTATTAAAAAATTTATAATTAAATAATTTTCCTTTATTTACTACAATATTATGTTTACCTATGAGAATAATGTGGTTTTCATTACTCTAGAAAGTATTAACATTTAGGAAATTTTAACCCTAGCACAAATAATTGGTGTATCTTTAGAGGCTATTTTTGCATCAATTATTTTACGAATGGTTATAAACAAATTTAGTTACAATAATGGATAAAACATGTTAAGCAAAGACTTCATCAAAAACTAAAACTATAAATTATACCTTTAACAAAATTTCATAAATTAGTAATGTAATTCAGGACAAAAAAATTATCAATTCAATCAAAGAAAAATTCAGCAAAATTAGTTGGCAAAAATATAACTTTAATCATCAAGCCAAATTTTTTTTTGAATGATATTAAATTTTTTAATTCTATATTAGCACCTTTATCCGCCAAAAAAAAACTCATCTTTTTTGTAAAATTGACTTGATTGTGGTAACAGGTTTCTTACTTTGACATTGTACAAAAGATAACTCCTAAATATTCTTAAAATTGGTAAAAAACGTTTCACAAAAAAAAAAGATAACTTAAGTGTATAAATGAGTATATACTTTTATGTTGTTGTTGCAGTTTGGTTTTCTGGAGTTTATGTTTTAACCTCATTTACTGATTAAGCAATATGTTATAATGTTAAATTTTGTAGTTTTTATTGGATTAATTTAATAAATGCATAATTTAATATAATTTTTTGTTAGGTGGAATGCATATATCTAATGTCATTAAGGATCACTCAGTTTTGTTTAAAGATGTTTGTTTTAACTATCCATCTCGAAAAGACTTACAAGTACTTTCTAATTTTCATTTATATGCTGAGTCAGGATCATCAGTTGCAATAGTAGGTAAAAGGTTTTATATTTCAAAAGTATTTTTTTTTTAGTATTTTCATGCTGGAGCAGTATGAAGAGATTTTTTCACCATTCATATGCCTTTCTTCAGTTACTGTTTGAAACTGCATATATTAACAAATCTCTATTTATGGAACCTTCCCATTGTCTATTTTCATTTTTTTTTTTTTTGTATTTTTTTTTATAACAAAATAATCAAGAACAAGTTACATTTTTTATTAATGTATATTTTTGTTAATATGATATAATAATTAATAATTTAAAAGCTTCAAAATAAACAAAAGGTTAGGAATTAGAATTTTTAATAATGCTAAGCTGGTTGGTTAATTCACAGTTTTAAATGCTATTGGAAAAATATGCAGTTTAAAACACTATGGTAGGCCTTGTTTTAAATAAAATATGCTTAACGCAACAAGCTAATGAATTTTACGTTAAGAAATTTTCTTTATTTTTTTATTTGTTAAAGACATTAATTTTTTTAAATCACTGCAATAATATTAATTACCAAAAAACGAGTGAAATGTTTTCTTTTTTATTATTACTATAAAAGTTTATTTTCTTTTATTTTTTTGTTGATATTAAATAATTATAATTAGTATTACATTTTTCAAAATGTTTGACATTAACAAATTTCTTTCTGTTCTCGACATTAGTATAAATGAATTAAAATATGTTAAATTTTTGAATTTTTAAATTATTATTTCTTAAATTTCTAATTGCTGCTTTGCAACTCTAAATGATTTTTTATTTAAAAAAATTAGCAAGTAACAAATAAATAAATTAGGTTAATTTATTTACTTTATTTATCAAAAGTTTATTATTTTAATTACAATTTTGTTGTGAAAGCAAAGATTATTTTTCTAAACATCATTTATTAAAATTATATTGCTGTATAGTAAATGAGCTAATTTTTAAGAACAAATAAAATTTAAATATTGAACAATATTTAGTAATATTTTTAAATAAATTTGACAGTTAAGTTAAACCCAAGCATTAGGTTTAGTTTTAATAAACTTAAATATATTTTTTAAATCAAAGTTAAATTATATTCTATAAATCTAAATTAAATTATATATATTTTTTTTATCAGAATAAAATTATATATTTTTATTAAATTAGTTTTAAATTAAATCATATATTTTTTATCAGAATTAAATTATGTTATTATGATCCTTTGCTTCAAGCTTAAAATATTAGTGTTTTTCAAGCGAAAAAATCAATCATTACAATAAAATAAATAAAAAAGTTTTAATTTTACTTGAGTTTTTTTCATTAGTAAATAGGGCTTATATCTAACATAGTTGTCATTTAAACTTTTGTAACATATTTTTACATAAACGTCGTTCAAAAGTTAATGTGATTTAATTACTACTTTTATCTTACTACTTATAGAATAATTTAAAAGTTAAAGAGTGATAAAAAGTCGCTTAACCAAAATCGTTTACTGCTTACATAAAATCGCCTAAGGCGTACACAAATCGCTCTACGCGTAATGCTTTAAAACAAGGCCTACTATAGGAAAAGTATGTCATGAATGATGCATTTTTAACATATAAATGATTGTAATGGCAATTAGTTATAATCTCGATGACAACAAGGTTACAAGTTATTGTTATCATGCTCCAGGATTTAAAATTTTTTTGCAATGTTTAAAATGTTTACCATAAAACAGGGTGACTTTGATAGATTTTTATGTATTTTTTACAAATAACTTTTTATAAAACATTTTTTTTTTCTGATATGACATTATCCCTCTCATTTAAAGAATTTCATTTAAACAATTTTTTTTTTTTGTTTTACTATATTTTTTCCATCTTCAAAAACATCTCACCTTGTTGTTTGCTGCAACTTTGAGCTCAATAGTTTTACAATGGTTTATTAATTTAACCTGACCCACAAGTGTCATTGATAGTTTTTATGTAATTTTACTAAATTAGAACACTATATAAAAACAAATTTATAGCATTTGACAAATGTACTTCTTACATAACTTCTTGGATTCAGGCTGGCATGGAATCTTTTACACCCTCTCAACAATTCCAAGTCAAGCCTCAGTCTTTTCCATGGTTTTCCTCACATTGACCTGCTGCAATTTCCAATTGTAACCATTACTTTCATATCTATCAGCAAAACAATTCTTCAAAAAACAGACGTCTGTTTACAATTGCTAAAAACCATTGTAAAAAGGTTTGTTTAATGCCAAAGCCTGCTAGTCTTAAGTCACAAAATCTTGTATTATATTTACTCATATATATAGAGAGAGATTTTATTAGGGCAAATCTGTTATTCAACCTCTCTTGTATGGTTCAGACTTTTTCACCTCACCTAAAGACAAAGCAGAATTGTTTGCTAAAAACTTCTCATCAATATTATCTCTTGATTCCACTAGTCACATTCTACCTGATATAGCCAACAAACAGGTTGATCCATTGCAATGGATCATTTTGTATTGGATCATTGACATTCGTATCACCCCAGCTTCTGTGTCTATGTAATTTCCTGCTTAGACTCTTCTACAACTTGTAATCCAGACAACATACCTGTTATAGTCTTGCAGAAGGGTTTTTCGGAGCTGTTGTCTATGTTTTCAAAACTATTTAACAAGTGCTTATCAGAGTCTTGTTTTCCAGCCTGCTGGAAAACAGCATCTGTTATCTCTATTTTCAAAAGTTCTGGAGAACTGTCTGACGCGTTTAACTATTCTTGCCTTAATCTTCTTTCTATCATAAACAAGATTTTTGAGTCTTTAATTAGAAAACACTTAATCTCTCATCTTGAATTTAATAACTTACTTTCTGATCACCAATATAGGTTTCAATCCTCTCATTATACTGCTGATTTGTTAACGACAATAACTGCTAGGTTTTATTGTTTGATAGATTCACTTTCAACATTTCTATAGCTTTTGATAAAGTTTAGCATGCTGATCTTTTCTATAAGCTCTCTTCGTACAGTGTATCAGGTAACATTTTTATAACTATTGAATCCTTCCTTACCAATCTTAGTATAAAAGTTGTTTTTGATGCCTTGATGGACAGCACTCCCATTCATTTCCTGTAACTTCAGGGATTTCTCAAGGTTCTATCCTTGATCCTAAACTTTTTTCAATTTGCAAAAATCACACATTAAAGTTTGAATTGTTCACTGATGGTACTACCATTTACTCTTGTTTTGATTTACTTGACCATTTACTCTTGTCTTGAAACTAACACTCTCTGATTGCTTGGAGGGGGCATTTAAGTTTAAAAAAGATTTCACTTCTGCTACACCATGGGACTCTCATCGCTGGTGAATTTTAATTCAGATAAAACTTTTTTTTCAGCTAATCGTTATTGTAATAATCTAGACCTATATTTATGAACAGTAATTTACTCGATGAGTCATCTACCATTCATCTTTTAGGATTAACTCTTACTTCCGATCCTTCTTGGAAACCATATATCAAATCGATTGCAAAATTAGCATCTGCTAAGGTTGCATCTATTTAATGTGCTTGCCACTTTCTTACTCAGGATTTTATTATTTATCTCTATAAATCTCAAATTTGTCCTTGTACTGTTGCCATATCTGGAGCAGATCATCAAATGATACCTTTTCTCTATTAGACATGGTGCAAAAATGCATAATTTTGTAAACATAGTTGAACTTGTTCTTGTATACAATTTTCAATTATTGTCATATTGTTGTTATGTTGCTCCTCTTTCTTTATTCTATAAATAAATACTATAAAAATGGTTGCTGCTCTAAAGAGCTCGCGTCTCTTGTGCTATCTACTAAAATTCACTCTCGTGTTACTCGTCATTCAATCAAGTCTCATCCTTTTACTTTGACTGTTCCTAAGTGCTCCAATAATTCTTATTCACCTAGTTTTTTTAATCTCAAATATTAGTCCTTTGGAATTCACTTCCTTTATCCTGTTTTCCTGATTTATATAATTTGCAATCTTTTAAATCATCTGTTAATTGTTATCTTGCTCTGTAAATTTCATATTTTCTCTTCCAGTAACTTGCGACCCTAATAGTGCAGCCTTGATGGAAGTGGAAATGTTAAAAAATTTCTTCTGTAAAATTATTAATTTAAAAAACAAATTAGGTTATCAAATATATCCACAAAATGGACATAAAAATAAAATGATTTTCAATATTTACTATGATATATTAAGTTATGTTAAACATTGCAATTTAATATATCAATTGATTCATTATAGAAGCGAAAATTATCATAATTAGCAGTTATAAAATAATACTAACAACAATAGTGATATTCTTTAAGTATTTTGAGGTGATATCCTTTAGGTGTTTTTAGGTGATATCTTTTAATGGCCTACATTTAAAAATAAAAAAAGATTCCAAAACAAAAAACTAAAAAAAATCACATTTTGTAAAGTTAGACATATCTTTGAGACTATACTACTTTTGTTAGACATATCTTTGAGAGTATACTACTTAATTAGTAGTCAAGTTTTAACACCAATTTTACAAAATTATTTAGATTTTGTATATATATATATTAACTGCTGTAGAGTACTAGTCATAAAAATCAAAATTTAAAAGACAAGATATTAATGTTCTTAAATAAGATGCTTTTACATCAATTATTTACTGAATGTTTCTGATGCCTTGAAGATTGACATTCTGTTCGTTAAAATATCCAATAAGACATTTTGAATGGCTTTTAGATATGTTGCATATGATTTACTACCTGGATTACATTTATAATTTCTCAAATTTCTTACAATTGTTCATGTCGTTATGTCTTTTTTAACTAGAAATAATTGTTTAAAACAATAAAAAATTACAATAGGATAGAAATGTCAATGACTAAAAATTATGTAAAAAATTGAAAAAAAAAAATGTTTGGGTTTTTGTGGAAATGTGATTGGGAGTAACCAAAAACGAGTGGTATATAGTAGTGGTATTTTAACTGGAATATACCACTTTTTAGCTATGGGTTTTTAGAAAACAATTTATGCCAAAAAATTAAAATTATAACATTTAGGGCATTTTTTTGGGACATGTAAAAATCGTTATTAATCGTTATTATATTGAGTCATTTTAACCTAAACACATTCCCACAAGTTAGAATCACTTTACAATCATTATAATTTAAAAAATATGCACAATATAATTATATATCAGGAGAAAAATTGAAATGGGTGGTTATTTTAAAATTACATTAGGCCTATATTTTTGTAACTAACAAGCTCAATTATCAAAGTCACCTCGTTTTACGGTATATATTTAAAAATTTTGTATTTATTTATATTTAAAAGTTTGTATTTATTATATTTAAAAGTTTGTAAATATTTTAGGCGAAAGTGGCAGTGGCAAAAGTACGATTGGATCTTTGTTACTTCGTTTTTATAATATCAATAGTGGTTCTATTATAATAGGCGGTGTCAACATTAATGAACTTGATCCATACACATTAAGAGAATTTATTGGGACAGTAAGTCAGGTACTATGACTCTCCTACTAATAACTAAACCATTAGAGTTATAATAATCAGCATTAAACTATATTGATTATCAATTATGTTGAGAATTTAAATTGTAATTTAAAAAATGTTAGAAATTTAAGAGAGTATAATTAACTAAAAATTTTGAATAATTTATTAGTTGATAAATATTACAAATGGGCTAAAATATACAAACAGCTAATCAATACAAATAGTTAAATACAACAACAATACAAACAAACGTTTGCTAAAAGTTAATTTTTTTGTTTTTGTAATTAGTTACACTAAATCATCAAATAAACAAATTTGAAATTTATTTATTATTAATTATGTTACAAAACAAGAGAGATCGGTTGCAAGCATCTTACGATTTATGTAGAATTTACTCTGCTTATTAATAAAAATTTAGTATTAAGCATTTAGGTTCAGTTGTCAATAGTTTTGTATATTCTATTCATTTTGTTGTCTTATGTTATGACGTTTTTAGTGACGTTTTAAATTTATGACGTTTTTAGTAGCAAATTTTCGAAATATGGATATATACGGATAGATTAAGTAATACAAGTCATTGTTTCTTAGGAGCCTGTATTATTTTCTACAACAATTGGTAACAATATTTCATATGGTTTAAAAAATGACGCGACATTTGAAGAAATTGTTTCAGCTGCCAAACAAGCTAATGCATATAATTTTATTATGACTTTCCCAGATGGTTTCAATACAATAGTTGGAGAAAAAGGCCAAATGTTATCAGGTTAGTACATTTTTTTGAGATTTGTTAAGTATTTACTAATGTTACTGTTGAGTAGTTACCGAAGTTTTCATTTTATCAAAGTAGTAAAGAGTATAATTTAATAAGATATTTAAAATAAATCGTTTTTTGAGTGTTTTAAAGTTATTATTTTTATTATAAATTAGTAACATTTATAAAATGTAAAATCTATAGCTAACCTAAGGAAGTTAAAAATCAAAAATAATATCAGGGATTTTTTTGGTTGAATTTCAAAAAAAAAAAAAAAATGAAAAAATTAATTGAATTTTTTTTAGGTGGTCAACGACAACGTATAACAATTGCTCGGGCTATTTTAAAGGTTTCTTTTAATTTTTTATTGCTGTTGTTTACTTTAAATCTTTTTTTTTTTCAATTTTTTTTTTTTGTTTGGAAAAAGCATTTGAAATTTTGAAAAATTTTGAATTAAAAATTTATGTTTATGTTTTAGGATAATAAAGTTTTTGTTGTAATAAACTTTTGTTGTTGTCGTTACAACCCACTCGCGAAATCTAAATTTCAATACACGAGCCAAACGAGATAAACTAAGCTGCTGCGCGAAGAAACAATTTAAGCGTGGTATTGCAGGGTAGTGGTGGGGATTGAGCTCATAATTTCTTTTTTACAAAGCAAGTACTTTACCGCTGCACCACTACTTCATTGGCTTATAGTTGTGATATTTATACGGTTATCAAGTACTTTACCGCTGCACCACTACTTCATTGGCTTATAGTTGTGATATACTATATTATATCAATATCAAAACTAGTTCTTTTGAATATGCCAAGTTATGCTAAAAAAAAATTCGGGCATAGTTTGTGTCAGGAATGCGTGTTTTTTTGAATTTTTTTTAAAACGTTAAAATGTTTAAAAAATTTTATTAAAAAAAAGTATATAATAAAAGATTTTGTTTTATAGAACCCGAAGATACTTCTCCTTGATGAAGCTACAAGGTTTGTTTCTTGAAAATATAAATGTATATACACCTAAAAGAATTTTGTTTTAGTTAGGTTTTAAGTGTTTTGGTGTATTATCTTCTTTAACTTTAACTCGTCAATGTAAAAGCCAATTTCATAAGGTCCATAATTTCATAAGTAATCAAGCCATACACAATGGTCCGTAATTATACATTTTTTTTAACTTATAATTTTTAGTGATTTTATAACAAAATTTATTTATTTTTCTTATTTATTTTTTTTGAAACAGTTTTTTAAATTAGTTTGAAACTTTTGAAACAATATCTCACTTTATTTTTATGTTTTTAATTTAAATTATACATTTTTTGTGTATAAGCTTTATAAAAATGTAATTGTGTTTACTAATCACTTTTAAATAGTTCATTGGATGCAGAAAGTGAATATTTAGTTCAAGATGCTTTGCAAAAGTTAATGAATGGTCGAACAACGCTTATAGTCGCTCACCGTTTATCTACTGTAAAGTCAGCAAATAAAATAGCGGTTTTAAAGCAAGGCAAAATTTCGGAAATCGGGACTTATCAAGAATTGCTATCTAAAAATGATGGTCTATTTCGGCAACTTGTTGAGCGACAGTCATTTGTTGGGTAATATGATTACGTTTTCTAATGCCTAAAATATTTTTCAAATTAAAGGATATAGAATAGCAATAACTTTGTTAAGGCGTCAAGATATTTTGATGGTGTGAAATTATCCATTTTTATTCAGCATAAATTATTTTGAAATCATTAATTTGATTTCTTTACAAAATAAGAAATATTTTATAAAACACAAATATAATGCATTAGATTGGTACTATTACAGCCGTACTTTTTGTAGATGAATAGTAAAAAAGACCAACAACTCACAACATGTTTTGAAACTTTTTTTAATTATACTTAGCTTTTTTTTTATTATTTTGTTATATATTACCCGCATCATTACAAACTATTACGTAATACACTTAAAATTAATTTAGTTTGTAAAATCTTGTCGAACGGTTTATTTTGACTCAATTTTTTGTTTGCAATTAGTTTTAGTAAAGCCTATTTAATTTTAAACAAATCTTAAAAGGAGTGTTTGTTTGCTTTTTAGTATTTTAAATTTGTTAATTACCCTTTTCATTTCTGATCATGCTGGTTTTTAGTTTACATATTAGATTATTGTAAATCTTTTTTAGTTTTAGGTAATAATATAATTACATTTTTGGAGATCAATAATTATTTCATTGTTGAAGAGAAACGATTAGAGGACATAATTTAAAGCATATCTGGCCCGTCTTTAAAAATAGCAATTGACGCATTGTGCTTTCCACTGAACAAAAGTTGAGTGATATCATCTGGTGTGTAAAAATTTTTTTTATTTCTATTTAACTTCAAAGCATTTAAATGTTTTTTTATTTCTATTTAACTTCAAAGCATTTAAATAAAGATAATATGTAGGTTTAAAAAAATGGAGGTTCAATACATGAGCCTTAAGGAAGATGCAGAAGTTCTTATAAACGAAGTTAGTTATGCTGTGAAGAACATTTCTATATCTTCTTCACTTCCTTCATCTGATAATTGTGTATTCTTAAATATTGAAACAAAAGAAAATGCCTTATTTACAGTTCGCTTATCGCCTCAAGGTTTTCAAGTTGTTAGTCATGCTTTAGACAAAGATGAAAATGGATCTACAACATATCCAAGAGTATACGAAACAGTTTATTCGCTGCTTGAAAATATTAGTGAAAGTTATGTAACTGTTTTTGGAAATGCGCTATCGGTAAAGTTAAACGCTCTAAAAGATTTGCAAGAAAAAAATGCTGAATAAGTATCTTTATTGTTTAAGGTAAATTTGATTGAACATTATATATACAACTCTCGAAATTAGGGTCGGCATTAAAAGTGTTTAAGGTCAGCAAAATCTTGCCGACCTCAAACATATGTATATATATATATATATATATATATATATATATATATATATATATATATATATATATATATATATATATATATATATATATATATATATATATATATATATATATATATATATATATATATATATATATATATATATGTATGTATGTATGTATGTATGTATGTGTATATATATATATATATATATATATATATATATATATATATATATATATATATATATATATATATATATATATATATATATATATATATATATATATATACATAACTATATCATGTATTGTACATTTTAGTTCTTGCCCCGTTTAATAACCCTTGCTAATAATATTGTTTTACATTGGCTCGGATCTAAAAACATCATAACTAGTTGGAGTCTCAGTCACTTACCACTGCGTGCACATACATACTATAATGCAAGCACCGAGTCAATCAAGAATTACGTTTTTTGTTGTCAAAAAGGTTTTGAGTTAAAACTGAGAACTTTTTTTTAAAAGTTTTTTATTCTAGAAAGATTTTTATGTAATTAGAAATAAAAACTATAATTTCAGATATTTCTCCTAAGTTTCTCGTTCCGCTTTTCTTTCTCTCCTTTAAATCATTATAAATAATAAATCTTTATCGTTTTATAACCTTTTAAAGGCTGTTTAAGTTACTTTTAATTCCACACAAAATAGTTTTTTTTTAAATCATTTTTATCATATTCAAAAAAGTACTCTTACTATCGAAATAAGTCTTAATCTCGAACTTTACATAACTTGCCATGGCTTTATAGAGACCAGTCGTGATTTATTTTAATGACTTATTTGTTAAAATGAAACTTTCGATATAATTTTAGAATAATAACATAAATGCCAATTCTATTTTGTATCGAATACTTCAGCTTTTTTCTCCTTCGTTTTTGTTTGTTGCTTAGTGCATGAACTGTTTTATAACATGTTAAAACTGCTGCGGCGTTAGTTCTGCGTGCTTCCCAACAAGTGTCAGTTAAAACTGTAGCGGTGCTACTTCTGTGTGTTTAACTTGTTGGGAAGTGTCTGATAATTTTTTTTTTTTTTTTTGAATAAAATTTTCAAGAAGTTCGTATCAATGAATTTAAGCAGAAAAAAAATACTTTTGTTAATTTAAAGAAAAAAATAGTTAACTGCCTTCTCAGACAGAATCGAAAATTTTAAGTCCAGATTATAAACGATTAAAGAATCGGTTAAGCAATCATTAAACTACCAAAGATTGTTCTACGTCGAGTTCTATGCCGTTCTATGTCGATTGAAAACTCTCTCCATTTTTGGAATTTTTCTTTTGGATTTTCATTAGATGCCAGTTTTTATTGTATACTAATCTCTTAAGTTATGACCAAAAATCATCAATGGGATGTTGGGTAATGAGGGGCAAAATGAGACACTAAAACACAAGTTTTTCTAATGCAGCATATGTAACAAGTTTGAAAAGAGAACTAATTTTTTTTTTGAAGTCTTTTAACATCTTATTGCAATTTTAAAAAATATGAGTCGCAAAACTGTAATGGTTAGGTCTCTAGAGATCAACAAAACCTTTTTCCCCGCATGGAGCAAAATGATACTCATCTAAAAATTTATCTAAGGTAAACAAACCGGATTTTTAAGAGGATTAGCAAGATCTTTTTTTTATAATGTAATTTATTCTATTAACTTTATTATATAAATCAAACAGGCTGAGGTGGTAATTTTTGTGTCTTTTTTTTCAGTAAAATAACAGGAATAAATCTAACAAAGAAACCTCTTAAATAAAATTTGATTATATTTGATAAATATAAATATATTAAACATTTATTCGATAATATAAATATATTAAACATGTTAGATGACAACTCAACATAATATTTTTATTAAATAAACTTTAGACAAAATAAAATATGGATGTATGAAAATGAAACCATAATGCCTAATGATGATAATAACTTTAAATATACAATTATTTTACTCCGTGAGATCAAAAAAGACTAAGAATAATTGTAATAACAAAGCTTCTAAATTTGCAATCGTCAGTTTCTGCCGTAGTATGAAATGATTAAATCTTTTTTAACTTGATCTTTTTTTTAATTTCAAAGTAACTAGTGATCATTTTCCTAGCAGGTTTTAGAATATAGCTACACTTTTAAAAATCTTAAAAATAAATTTAAGGGCTGGCACCATGATGCGATTTATCTCATTTTTCCCCCTCTCTTATTATGCTCCAAATTACCTTAATTCTGGCACATTTGCTGATTGCATGAGCATGTTCATTTGTTATAAATTTGATTTTTTGATTTTTAATAGCCTTGGACTTTACATAAATAATGTGATTAAGCAACATCAGGCAAGAAAATGATTTTATTATTTTTATGACATTTCGCAATCAATTTCTCTAATCTGTTAGAGATTTTGAAATATACACATTTTCATTATCGATTTTTAAAGACGCTCTTTCTGATTTGATCACTTCCGAATTTTTTTGCTTGGTCTATAATGTTCTTGGCTTTATATTGTTCTTCAATTTTCTTTAGTATAATTTATATAGCAGATTTCGGCATATTTTTGATTCGAAAATGGTTAACAATAAAGCTTTTATTATTATCTGCATGCAAATCTAAAAATGCTTACACTCGTTTTCTAAGTGAATCTTCGTCATAAGATTTTTTTATTATATAACTAAAAAAAAAAAAAATTATTAATACATTTAAAGAATTAGATTTGTAACAAATTAGGAATGATTGCAAGTATATTAAATTAAGCACAAGACGCGTTAAACACATCTTTAAAACGTATTAATTTATTTAATCACGTTTTTTAGACGTGTTAAATACGTTATGCTTACGGGGATAAGGCCTGAAGTAACTTGTTGATAGTTGTTTTGAGTTTATATTTGCGTTTTTTATTAAGTTTTTATTTATTGGTTGCAGAAAAGATAATCAGTTAGAACTACATAATATTATGGTAATGACCGCTATGTTTTTTTGTTACGCGTTTATAATTTAATTTTGTTACAGTTTTAGTTCAAAATGCATCCACCAGAAAGCAGAAAATTAGATGCACCAGAAAGTGAGCAATTGATAACACAACGCAACGATCCAAATGTTTAGAGTGATTAGTCTGAAGTAACTAAAAAGTTAATATAAAAATTATAAAAATAAATTTATATTCTCAAAAATATTCAAGTCTATAAAATTAATTTAAAATCTTAAAATTTTATTTTGTTTTAAATGCAGTTTGAAATTATTATTATTCCTCAAAAGCGTATACAATTAGGAAATTAATATTCAAATGCAAATACTGCGATAACAACTGGACTATATTTACTTTCAAAAACAACTACTGCTTTATATTTTCTTTATTAGGACCTCTTGATTAGGTGTAATTAATAGGTAGCATATAAAGTTTTCTAAAAATTATCCTTAATGCAAACTATGTTTTGTAACTTTGATTTTCTTTCTTTCAATGATATCAATATAGTAGAATTGAATACTTTTTTTTTCACATTCATAAAGTATATATCTTAATATAAAATATTCAGAATTATTAGTTTTTTTTCTAATAAACCAGTAGCAGAAGTTTCAAATTATATTTTTTAGTTTTGTTTGGGAACATAAATTATCATTCGGATGTTAAATAGTAAAAATTATTTTGTTTACTTAAGTAACTCCTTGTTTACATTAATGGTAACAAATTGTAGAAAATAATTTATTTACCTATGCAACTTTTTGTTTACGTTAATTATAACTAATCAAAAGTTCTGTTAATTATAATAATTTTGTATAAATCTATAATTAAATGACTTAAGCTCTTCCCACCCTTTTTATTTGAATATTTTTCCCGTAGATATAATGGATGACATTGAAAGTATTTTGTGTTGGCTTGCACTTGTTGTATTTACAGCGTGTCTTGTTAAAAAATCTACTTCTGGTATATTTTATAACGGCTCAGAGTCTCTCAATGGAAAAGTAATCATTATTACTGGTGCAAATTCTGGTATTGGTTTTGAAACAGCTTTAGAACTTTGCAAACGTGGTGCTAAAGTAATTCTTGCATGTCGAAATGAAGCGCGTGGTTTAAATGCTGTGCATAGCATAAAACTGGCCTTCAAATGCGCTAACGTTGAGTATATGCCGTTGGACTTATCGTCGTATAAATCTATTAGAGGTTTTGTGATATTATTTAAAAGAAAACACGGCTATCTAAATATACTTATCAATAATGCTGGAATTATATTTGTACCTCATATTTTTTCAAAAGAAGGAATTGAGTTAAACTTTGCTGTGAATCATCTGGGACATTTTCTATTAACGCTCTTATTATTGCCAATGCTTAAATCTAGCAATACGCATTCGCGAATAATACTGATTTCTTCTCTTACGTACATTTTCAGTAATATACAGTTGGGAGATTTAAATTTCACGTCACGACCGTATAACTCTCTGCAAGCTTACGCTGATAGCAAATGTGCCAGCCTTGCAACTTTTCTTAATTTGGCTAAGAAGTTTAAATTTGACGATGTTTCTATTTCTTGCGTCGATCCGGGTATAATATTCTCAAACATTGGAAGAGACGCTTGGTTTATGAGTAGCTTTTTTTATCAAGTGTTATGCAGACCATTTACTTGGTTGGCATTTAAGGGAACATGCGCTGGTGCTCAAACTACCATTTATTGCGCTTGTTCAAAAGATGTAGAAACAAAGAAAGCAGGGTTTTACTCTGAATGTGAACGGAGGATTCCATGGCCAATAGTCTTTGATGAGAACTTATGTGATAGTTTATGGAAAAAAAGTTTTGAAATGTTGGATTTAACTGAAGTTGAATTAGCGTCGATTTCTGAGCAAATCGACTTATAAAATTTGTTTCCTTTTTTTTTTGTCCAATATTTTAGCCATCAAAAGGAGAGTAAATAAAAATGTTTTATTCACAATATTTGCAGTACGCCTACAAAAAAGTTTCAGTTGATTTCATGTTTTTATAGGCAAACAAATTTTTGTCATGAGCACATTTACAAAACGCGCTAAGTCCAAGTAAACTCGTTTTGAGAAAACAACGATAAACTAAACTACTCTTAGTAGCGCATCAACAGAGACTGATTTTTTTTTGTCCATTTTTCGGACCAAAAATTTTTAAATTGGTCTAATATTTAAATAGGTGATAGATTTCTATAAATAATTTAGAAAAGGAAGTAACTCTAAATTTTTATTTTTGTGACTTTACGCGTTTTGCTGATAGGCTCCTCAAATATTATTAATTCGTTTTTTATTTAAAATAAATCAGGCGGTCAAAATTTCACACTGTAAAATATATAATACCGAGAGAAAAGAGGGAGTAGTAATTTCTTTGATCAAAACACATTAAGGTCGTCTCCATATTAGCACTTACATTAATGTCAATGTTTTTTAGCATTTTAAACTTATCGAATTTGTATTTTTTATATAGATAGTTTTTTATATATTATACTTACATATGATTTTTATCAAGATTTTAGAATATATTACTTTTTTCGTTTTCTTTTGTGTTACTTTATCGGTTGCATTATTGAAAAGTTTTAACGACACTATCAGAAAGCTTGGAGCGATTGTGGTTTTAGAATTATATAAATATTGACAATTTATTTGTCGTGTAATACGTCGGTAACAACTTTTTTTACTTTAATGAAATTTTATTTTGTGCAATCGTGCAACAATTGTATATAAAGAGAGATTAAGAGACGTTAAGTATTAATTTTGACAAAAAACAATTTTTATGATTTATTTAACTACAGAATTATTTCAATAGCCTTGTTTTTTTTATATATAAAAAAAATCTTAGAAATGAACAATAGGCTTGATAACTATTTAGTTACAAATCATAACATCTTTTAATATAATCAGAATTCTCATTAGAAGATGCAATACATGGGCGTGTTTAAAAATGTCTGCTCCGTCTTTTTACGTACTCAAAAAAATAAATTATAATAAGAATATATTGTTCATAAAATAAAACAAATAAAAAAATCTTTTACCATTATGTAAAACAAATATATTAGATTAAAATTAGAGCAGTATACATGTTCTAAAGGACACGCAGGTCCATAGATTAAAAAGAAGTCTGACTACCGTAATCATATGTGCTAGACAACCTAATAACACCTAAAAAAATTAAATGAAATGAATTACATGAATTTTGGATCCAACGATGTAAACATTATCTTGCCAAACACATCTTTAAAAATAAGGCTTTTTAAATTGTTATTAAAGGTAGAATGCTTATTTTGTTACTGTGCCTTTTGTTTTGTTTTTATTTGCATTATGAATATTAGTCCCTCGCACATAAAATGACGAATGTTTTCACTAAAATTCGTGCTATGCAAGCACCCTTAGTGCTTTTTTCAAAAAGAAAATGTGAAGAAATTTTAAAAATTTGAATTAATACTTTAAATTATGGGCAAATTTCTTTCTCATTTTTCTGTTATCAGTGATAGTTGTTATTCTATAGCCACAAGCAGGACATACCAAGAAAGGTGCAAATATAGTAGTAAGTTGTCTTTAAGATTTCCAGTTTGTTTTAGTCATATGTATATTTTTGCTTATAAATTTTCAATGTGATATAACTTATTTTAATTGATAAAAAGGAAAGAGCATAACTTATGTTATGAACATAATATAAATTATGTTATAAGCTTGAATTAAAAAAAATGTTATGAACTTTAATTTAGTCAACTTAATTTAACAAACTTAAATTTAAACAAATTTAAGTTCATAAAATTGTTACATAAGTTACTTTTTAAATGAAAAACCAAAACAAAAAAATATTCACACAGTAATATTTATTTTATTAAATTAACCACATACGGTCATGGCGCAGTGGTTAGAGCGCTTGCTTTATAAGCAGGAGATCCAGATTTGAAACGAGCTTTGGACATATTTCGCGTCACGATAAGGAAGGAGGCTTGAACTTCCTGGTTAAATGCACTTCCGCGGTGCTCTGTGACAAGACCGTTAGGTCTTCTTGGAGTACCTAAATGATAAAAAAAAATATTTTTTGTTTTGGTTCAGTTTGTCAATCTGACCTTGCATTGTAAAGAGAATTGAAAGAAGCGCAGCCCAAGTAAGCACAGGACGTTTTAAAACGTTTAAAAAACTTATTAAAACGGATTTTAACAACTTTTAAACGTTTTAAAAACAATCTGTGCTCACTGGGAAAGCTAGTGGATTTCTATAAATGAAATTCCTGATCAAAATGTTGCAGACAAAAGTTTTAAAAAATCCTAAAAAGTGACAAAAAATAATTAAAAGTACACTACTTGAACTATTTTTCTTTCAAGTTTGTAAAATTCGAAAGAGAGACTGGCTAATTTTCTCAACATCCACTGGAAAAATTTTTTGTTTCTTATGCTTGCTTTTATAAGCAAGCATAAGATTTTGATAAAAACTTAAGAACTGGATTCGATGATTGGTCACCTGGACAGCGTTTTATAAAGAGGCATGAACAAAGCAAACAGCACACTGATGCAGTCTAGTGTTCGAGGTCTTAGAGTTCCTTTCAAAATTCTACTCATTCCTTGCTAAACGCGTAAAAAATTTAAGAAAATCAGAGAAAATGTTTAAATCATTTAATGACAACTCACAGATGGCAATTTGTTCTGGTCTTATAAGTTATGCTGGAAAGGACAGGAAAATTACCATCAAAAGTCTGAGTGGAAAAGGTAGTCAGCGAAAGCCATTCATTTAAAATTTTACATGCAATTTGTAGTAATATCCTTAGGACCCTAGAATCAGTTGTTCTAGATAAAGATAAAAAATGTCAGTCGCAAAATGAAGCCACAACACAAGTTTAAAGAAAACAAAAACTTTTAATGTTGCTTTTATGACGGAGCTTTGACACAGAATCATGTTACGATTCGGTGCTACGACACATAAAATCATGTTACGATTCGGTATCAAACTTCAAAGTGCAGATTTAGCTCTTGGTGTGCGTTTGCTTCACTTTTTGTGGAATATATGACATTCCCAGCTAACACAAAACGTTCAACCAACGTTCCGAACGTTCGTGAAAAGAACGTGCTTGAACGTTCGCAACGTTTGTCGAGCGTACTTGAACATTTTGTGTTAGCTGGGTCAATTCGTGAAGATTATTTTTGAGAAAAAAGAATGTGCTGCAATGTTTTTAAGCATTAAAGTATAAGCAAAAAGATGCTCAAAGTAAGAGTTTGTGAGAGTAGAGACTGAATGAAGTGACATATTTAAAATTAAGCATTTTTTTCCTATCATAGACAATTTGAAAATGTGCTCGAAAGTTTTCTGATTTTGGGTTACGAGCAGAAAGTTTGGTTTTTTAAATAGTTTTCCGATTATGGCCGTTCCTGTAAATTTGCCAAATCCTTGTGTACTTTTTATTCTTCAGACTTGGTGTACACAACTCCATGATGTAATTGTCAATTTTTTTATGCTTATGTCAATTAATCAACCCCCTTCCCCCATCCTTCCCTTTTATAAACTAAAAAAGTTTTTATTTATAAAAAATTGTATAAATTGATTATTTCCTAATACTGTAGACAATGTAATAAAACAAAGAAAAAAAGTAAATTTATTGTTTCGACAATTAATAAAGGCATTTTTTTTATAAGATCAGAAATATTTATATCTTTACATTCAGAAAAGTAATCAAAAGACTTCAATGAAACCTATGTCACAAAAACATTAGGGTGAAAAAAAACTTTTAGATTCTACCTGATTCGAGATCATGGGTAAAATGTTGCTTTCTCAAATGATTCAAGCAAAAAAAAAGGAGTTGAAGAATCTCACGTGCTTTATCTGATTAATTAATCGATAGGGTAGCAGAACTATAAAGTCGATTCCCCGTTTCCAAATATATATATATATATATATATATATATATATATATATATATATATATATATATATATATATATATATATATATATATATATATATATATATATATATATATATATATATATATATATATATATATATATGTATGTATATATATATATATATATATATATATATATATATGAAATATGTAAATGTGTACTCACGTAGGGACAAAAATGCTCCACATTCTCTACTTCTGTTCCTTCCCCCTTCTTGAGAAAAATTTTACATGATGCAAAAACCTTATTCTTAAATACAATTTTAATTTAATCAAATAAAAAGCAGCAGATATAAATAACATGTTATGTTAGCATGCACCAAATAAATCAGTTTTTTTTTTTATATATAGTCAATTTTATCATATGTTTTATAAGTATCATATAGTTTGCCTATATTAGGTAAAGCCTCAATGTATTCCTTAATTTTACGTTTTCCTACAATAAGGTGGGTTTATAGGCGATTCTACGAATAAAATGAAGGGAGGAAGGGTGAATTCTTAAAAAGTACCAACTGGTTCCTTAAAAAAATAAGGTCTCCAAAACTAAAATTCACTAAGGTCTTAAATATATATTTGTCGAAAAATTGACTACAACTTGAAAATCATCTTCTTTAGGGAGGAGGGGGGGTGAAACACCTCCACACATACCCCCCTTCCCTCCTCCCACCTGGAATCGCCTCTGGGTAGGATTGCACTCGCGTTCAAGTAATTATGTTTTTATTAAATTTGTAAGTGAAAAATTCTCTTGCTACTAGTATTCAACGTCAATAACACTGATCTCTATAATAACTTATTAACTATAATATTTTTTATTATTATTAACTATAATTGTATATACTTTGTAACTATACTATATAACTATAATTATATATACTTTATAGCTATACTTTATAACTATACTATATACTATAACTATATAACTTATATTATTAGCTATAATACTTATTAAATATAATAACTATAATAAGTTATTGTATCTAATGGAAAATATAAGGTTTTTAAATTTTAAGTTTGGAAAATCTTTTGTCTGAGACATTATTAGCCCAAGAATTTAGGCCAAGTTATACTTTTTGATCAATATATTTTTCACCATTTTGAAATCAGCAAAAA